ATAGTATTCTCCACCCCGATCTGATCGTATAACTTTAATTTTTCTATCTAATTGTCTTTCGACTTCCGTAACAAACACCTCAAGCATGTCAACGGCTTGAGATTTTTCATGAATTAGATAGAGATAACCATAACGAGATAGATCATCAATAAAGGTGATAAAATACTTTTCTCCACTAAAACATGGAATAGGTAATGAGCAGATATCTGTATGGATTAACTCAAGAAGCTCTTTACTTCTTGTGGCACCTCTTTTATTGTGTTTAGTTTGCTTGCCCTTAATGCAATCCACACACATTTGAAAATCAGTAAAATCTAGATTTTCCAAAATTCCAGTTTTTACCAATCTTTCAATTCTTTCCTTGGAGATATGCCCCAATCGTTTATGCCACAAGATAGAAGAATTTTCGTTATTTAGGCTTCGCTTTACGCCAACTTCCGAATGAGTGGTTAATAATGATTGTTCAAACTCATGATTTAAAGATATTTTATATAAACTATCACATAAAATACCGGAACCAATTATTATTGAATTAAACATAAAATGAGTTTTCCACAACCAATTAAAGCTGAATAACCACAAACATCCAGTTTTGACAAAGAAACCAAATTCCTAGAAAACGAAGGTACATAAAAAGTGTTTTCAAGATCCATCTTGTGACCCGTCTCTAATATGAGGCGATAAGTGCCAACAAACGCCACTTTAGATTTGAGGCGGTTCCCCATATAGATGTACTTTTCACTTTCCTCCGGTTTCCGAGTTGTAAGGAATCCCTGTAATGAATTTGTGATATGAGTTGTAGCACCAGAATCAAGCCACCAAGTGTAAGAAGGAACTTCAATAAGATTTGATTCATAACATACAAAAGAAAGATGAATACCTTTCTTTTCGAACCAAGCCTTTCATTTCTCACAGTCCTTCTTTACGTGTCCCTTCTTGTTACAAAAGTAACAGGTGACAACAAAAGCCTTTCCATGACCCTGACTACTTTCACCAGGTTCATATCTTTTGTTTGGTGCGAATTTCTTTCCACTCTTCACAAATTTCCCTTTCTTCTTCATACTTCCATGAGTTACAGCCAATGCAAAGTGATTTCCTTCTTGCTTTATCTTACTTCCTCTTGAATACACATACTAGTCAGCTCATTCAAATTCCACTTATCTTTTTGAGTATTATAGTGGATTTTGAATGGGCCGAACTTTGATGGAAGTGAGTTAAGGATAAATTGCACAAGGAAGGACTCTTCCACTTTCATGCCAAGAGCTCCAAGTTTGGCAGCCTTATCAGTCATATTCAGGATATGTTCCTGAATTCCCTTATCACCACCATATTTCATGGTAGTCAATTCAGCCATGAGTGTCCCTGCTAACGACTTGTCCGCTGATTTAAAGCGTTCTTTAATAGCCGTTAACAGTTCCATAGCATTATCAACCTCGGGAAGGGAAGTCTTAATGTTATTAGCAACAGTCATTCTAATAAGCATAAGACTAAGCCTATTGGACTTGGTCCAGGCTTCAATTAGGCTAACTTCTTCATCACTGTTAGCATCCGTTATTTCCCCAGGTTTTTCAGTAAGCAATGCTAGGTCCAAATCCATAACACCCAAGGTGAATTGAATTTGTTCATACCATTCGGAGAAATTTGACCCACTGAGAGTCTTAATACCAGAAGCATGCGAGTACAATGAAGTAGGAATAGCAACTGAAATAAATATAGCAAATATATAAGGTAAAGATAAAAGGATGCTCACATAAGATCTTGAGTCAAATAAGATGAACTATCGATATCACTACAAGTTCGCCTTTGGGTGAAATACAGCATACCTATTGTTCACTCTATGTTGGTGTAAATGATCTTTTATAACACCTAAGTAGGTTCTAACATAATTTATCTCACTCGTCAATTATTCATGTTACCTTTAGATAAACAATTCTAATTGCTAAGTAATACAAATTATGATACCCTACCCAGTTCATAATTAATTAAAATCGACTATCCTTTGAGCTAGTCTCAATTTCTTAATTATGACTGCAATTTGAGAATATTATAATCTTTAATATCATGTAAATGATTAAACTTTCATATAGTTCTTATATTTATTAGATTTACTAATCTAGGTCACTTTAGCAACTACAAGATTAGTAAATTTCATAAATATAAAACTAATAATATTCTCGTTATTTTATTTGAGTGATATAATAATAACAGTAACAACACGTTCTCTATAAATTACGAAAAGTAATTTACTGCATAAGATATTAACATAATGCACATATATGCTTAATAATCTTAATCTCAGTTGCTCAGGTGCACAGATTGCATAAAAGTGCTGTATAATTATATATTATATATCATCACTTTTACTTCCTATTGACACATTTAATAATCTGTTATTTTCTATTAGGCAGAAGAACGTCAATCACAGTACATAAGGTATTCCCTAATAAACATGCGTCAATGGAAATACTCATATAATGAACAACAAGCCATCACAGTCAGTTGAAAACATTAACCAAATTTATTATTATTATTATTGGAATATGACGTGTGTGTGCGCAATTGTGGATGTCCAGAGTACAAACTATTGATTTATCCAGAGACAAATTTTGAAACACCCAAATCAATATTTTATAATAAAATAACATAGACACTAATAATTTTAATCAAGAACGCAATTCAATTTTATGGAATCATAAAACCGAATAATTAACATATAACATATTTGAGTTCTAAGGTGAATCGATTTCAAAACCCTGCTCTGATACCAATTGAAAGACTTTTATTTAATTTTATGCGGAAAACCTTAATCACAGAATCTTGAAATCAAATTCATCTTAAGAATGTAATCACGTAATTAGGATTTTCGACATACCGTTCGCCATCGATTTCGATAGAGATGATGAACAATCTACAAGCCGAGCCTAGCCAGGCCTCCTTCGATTCTCCTTGAGAGAACTTTATTCGTAGCACACCTTCTTCTCTCTATCCCTCTAATATCACAACTCACTAGTATTCTGTAAGTGATGGAATTCTCAATTGTGTCTGATGGTTGAGGAGAAGAGCTGTGGATTTCTTTTATAGACGAGAGAAGAGGGCCACGATTCTTTGTAACGGCAGAAAACAAATCCCACCCATCATGGTCTTTTATTGTCTTATTACGTTACAAAGTAAATACCATAAATCACCTTAATACCATAATTTGAATTACCCACAAATTAATTAATTAAAATAAAGATTAGTGGACCAAACATAAAACGTTTTAAAACGTAAACTAACAGATAAAGTAATGCAGCAGAATTGTAAACAATGTGTGAATAGAAATCATAAATCATAAAAAATGCGAATAACAAACTGTGAAACGACGAAAAATAAGAATTTAATCTTGTTTATTGCAAGCTTAACATATATGTTCAGCAATCAGGCACAAATAAATCAAAGGGGGCATTTGATATACACCCCTAGAATGAAAAATATATAGGGATAAGTCCACCCCTAAAATTCTTTCTTTGAGATACACCCCTGGAGAGGCAAAAGTACTATTGTGCCCTTATTTGTAAATTTTAACCAACTGCATTCAGCTTTTCCAACTGCATTCAGCATTATAGCTAACTGCACTCCTTACTTTTAGACCTGCATTTATCATTTTTTCAGATTTTTTAATAAAAAATTATAAATTTTTATTTTATTATTATTTTTTTTATACGTACCCTCTTTTTCTATGTTTTTAATTTTTTTATTTTTTAATTTTTATTTTTTAATTATTTTTAATTTTTAATTCTGTTTTTTTAATTTTTTTAATTTTTTTTTTATTTTTTTTATTTTTTTTTAATTTTTAATTTTTTAATTTTTTTTTTATTTTTAATTTACTGTACTGAAATTGACTACACATGACTATAGTATACCACAGTCATGTATAGTTATATGTAGCCATGTACTATTTTTTTACCCCAAAATTATGGTCGATCGATTATAAAAACCGTTAATTATATATAAAAAAAATCATCTATACCATAAAAAAATTCAAAATTTGATTCTTGGTATTATAATAATGCCTAACAAAAAAGTGAAAAAAAAACACAATCACTAGATCACTATACATCAGAAAAACCACATAGCTTGTATATAAATATATATAACTACATGGAACTATACATGACTACAGTTATCTATACGACTAAATTTGCTCAAATCGCACTTGTGTTAGGACCGCTTGTTTTGAACAACGAACACAATCCACTTCGCAAAAACTACTACATAGTAGTTCAAACACCAAGACCTGTGAAAAAACTTACTACATAGTAGTTCAAACACCAAGACCTGTGAAAAAGAAAAAGAGTTAAACAAACAACGAATTTTGCTTCAAATTTAAATGTGCAAAGACGCACTATCACCTACTGGTATACATAGGAACTCCCCACATAACTCATACATGACTACATATGACTACATGACTACATAGTTTATATATAACTATATATTACTACATGTGACTACACCATATATTACTGTATGTTACTACACGTGACTATATATTACTATATGTGACTACACCATATATTACTGTATGTTACTACACATGACTATATATGACTACATGTATATGACCACATGTGACTATATACATGTATGCGACTTTATTTGTCCCTTCAAGTACCTGACTTTGTTCTCGAGGCGATACGAGACTGCTTATATAATCAAAATCAAATTACAAACAGAGTATGCTAGTCATTATTCTTCGTATAACCAAAGGTCAAAGATCAAAGCAAGTTGAAGTAGAACACCATAGATAAAATAATAGTTGAAACACACTTAAAGTAATCACCTATTTCATTCTCGATAAATAAAATATCAATATCATATTACCAACAAAATATTCTCATCACGAATCTACATATACTCCCAACTATAAAAAAAAGTAAACAAATTATTTGAGGACCAATAAACAGTGATTCAATATATTAAGAAGCACATTAAAATTCATTACCTTTTCTATGCCTGCAATGGATGAACAGTCAGTTTTGTCGCACCACCACCCGGAAAAAGTTTCGAGTTTTTTTTTTTTTTTTTTCTTGCCACAACAATCGCGTTTTATGTACAAGTCGACTCCTAAAATTAAACTCACAACTTCACACAAAAAAAAAAAGAAAAAAAAATTAAAACCAAAACTCAAAAAATAACTGCAAAATTCGAATTACATTACATGAAAAATACAAAAAAACAATGAAAAACACTTTATTGATAAATTTACTTTGGTGAACTATAGACACATGTAGTTATGTCTTCTTGTTACTACATATGACTATATATGACTATATGTAGTCAACTATAGTCACATGTAGTTGTGTTCATTCTTGTTACTACATGTGACTATATATAACTACGTGTACATGACCACATGTGACTATATATGTATAGTTATAAAATTCATCTACACCACCAAAAAAGTTCACAAGTAAATCTATATAAAATGGTGAATAGAACAATGCGGTTGAAAAAGAAAATTATTACTTACCGTGCCAACAGTTTAAGGTGATCAATTATGCTTCGTTCTGCTTTCCTCTGCTTTTCTCGATTGTCTCTACCAAATGCTGCGCAAGACATACATTATATATTATTAAAAAAGAAAAACAAGAAAATAGCAGACAATTATAGAAAATAAGCCTTCAAAAAATTAACCAAAAGATTAAAATAAATGTCCATAAAAGTATTCTGAATGGAAAGTTGTGAAGGGGAGAGCACAAAGCAGGTTGCGCTACGAAGTATAAAAAACAGTTTGAAAGTAGCCAAAGGCAACTATTACAAGGACAACAGTGAAGAAAACCGAGGAAGTGGTGAGCATAATGCTGGCAAAGGGGTTCGTATTGGGAAAAGATGCCCTCAACAGGGCCAAGGCGTTCGACGACAAGCACCACCTGTCGTCGAACGCCTCCGCCACCATGGCTTCCATCGACCACATGATAGGCCTGAGTGAGAAGCTCAGCATGGGGACCGCCTTGGTCAACGATAAGGTCAAGGAAATGGATGAGCTCCTCCAGGTGTCGGAAATCCCCAAATCGGCGTTAGCCGCCGCCGAGCAGAAGGCCAGCAGCATCATGAGCAACCGCTACGTGTCGACCGGGGCCTCGTGGGTGACGAGCGCGCTGAGCGCCGTCACAAAGGCGGCGGAGGATGTTGGGGTTATGACTAAGGAGAAAGTCGAAAGGGCGGGGGAGGAAAAGAAGGAGAGGGTGCCGATCACTGGGGGGTCAGATTTCACGAATACTCGTAGGGATGAATTTCCGGCTATTGGGGGTCAGATTTCATGAACATAACCATCAATTAATTAATTAATTAATTAATTAATTATTTTTTTCAATTCCTTAAACAATTGCAGCACCAAAATAGAGAAGGGCCAAAATAGAGAAGGGGGAAGATTAAAATCAAACTTCAAAAAGTAGCACACAAAATCGATAAAATCAAATCATTCAATCAACACTTGGAAAATATTTTCCTCTGCAAATCCTCATTAATTTTCGAATAAATTCGATTTTCGTTGATTAATTACCTTCGATGGAACCGACTTGTTTTAGGACATTTGTTGCGACATAGATGAGTTCGGGGCTGATGTCGTCGCCGGGGTGAAGACTGGGGGTGTAGCTTTTCGACGGCGATGCGGCGGCACATCGGATGGTGGAGAGTTTGGGTTGCGCTTCTTCTTCCTCTTCTTTGTCGGTGCGAGATCTGGCGAGAGAGAGTTAGAAAAAGGGAGAGATGAAGAGAGAGGGGAAAGTCAGATCTTACGAGAGAGGGAGAGAACGACGGTGGGTTGAAGCGTGTGAATGAGATGAGATAAGATTAGTAGGTTAGGGCATAAATTGAATTAAAACTTAAAAGGGTAAAACAGGTATTTCAAGTTGTATAGGGGGTCTCACTAATTAAGATCAGAATTTGGGTTTTTCACTATGAGAGAAAAAATTGTTGGGCCTCCTCATATATATTTTCAAAACCAGGGGGTTATCACTCATTTCCCCTAAATCAAAATAATATTACATACGATTTAACATATATAGATACACTCAAATATAAAATTTTGTACTCGAATAAAGGACAATAATATCTCACTATAATTTGAGTCTTGATCATCTACATTTTGCAATATTTCTGCCATTGCTGGTAGAATACTTTTCGATGTGCTTAACGGTAGTCCAATGTTGTCATCGAATTAATTAGGAGAAGAAAAGTTACTTGGAATAATTTTTTAACCCTAACATTTTAGGGTGAAGAACGTAAATGGCTATCTTGGCCTTGGGGGCAAGATAAATAATTAGGTTAATATCATTTTTACCCTCCTCAAATTCACGTGCCTAGCATGTGAGAAAAAAAAAAAATTAAATTGACTAATATGACCTTATGTCTACGGATAGAATAATAAAAATGAGAAATTTTTAAACTCAGGGTGCATCTCGCCAAACTAAATCTAATTTGAGGGTGCATAATGTTTTATTTTATTTGTGAGGGTGCATTGTGCCCAACGAACCATATGTTGGGGTGCACAACGCAGTTTAGCCTATTTGTGTGTGTCATTAATTTTCATTTAGGGCATTCATGTCATTACCTATTTATATCTATTTTTCATTTAGATGGTATTGAAGTGAGAAACAATTGGTATTAATTATATATATACATATATATATATATATATATATATATATATATATATATATATATATATATATATATATATATATATATATATATATATATATATATATATATATATATATATATATATATATATATATATATATATATATTATAAGATCGAAAAATATATGCTACAATAAAATAATAAGGTAATAGCAATGTAATTTGAATTTCAAAAATATATATATTTTAAGTTATTTGATAGATTTTTTTCCATTACATATTTGTAATAGTGCGGGTATTTGTGATACTAATCCTATTATGTGTAAGATCAAATTAAAATTTTCAATGTACAAGTACTATAATATCCTTACTTGTTAAAAAATAAAATAAAAATTGATGCAATACCATAAATTAAAAAACCACAAAAAAATATCCACAAAACCACAAGACCAAATCCTCATATTCTCCATCCTCCAAAATCCACAAAAACCTATCTCCTTCCTCTTCCATAAACCCCCAAATCCTCAACATTCAAAACACACAAAATTCAACAAACCTTACAAGTGGGCGAGTATGGAGTTAAAAGACATCAAAATAGAAGATTATACGGTTGAAGAACCCACGGAGGTATGCATTTATGTGTTTTTTAAGCTAGGTTATCGTTCTTGGAAACAAAATCCGTGCAGATGCGATTCGACATTTACATGTCGAATTTTACCTCCAAAAATCGACATTAGAACGTCGAATCTTGCCCCCATAATTTGACTCTTAGATGTCTAAACAAGAGATTTGGGAAACAGGCTTATTTCAACATTTACATGTCGAATTTTGCCCCCAAAATTCGACGCTTAGATGTCGAAATAGAAGTTTTTGGGAAACAAGCTTATTTCGACATCTAAGCGCCTGCGCGGTTTTTATTTTTTTTTCCAAGAATGATAATTAGTTTAAAAAACACATAAATGCATACCTTCGTGGGTTCTTCCACTGTATAATCTTCCATTTTAGATGTCTTTTGACTCCATACTTGTCCTATTTGTAGATTTGTTGAGTTTTGATGGTTTGAATGTTGAGGTTTTGTGGGTTTCTGGAAAAGGAAGGAGAAAGGTTTTTATGGATTTTAGAAGACGGAGAAGATGAAAATTTGGTCTTGCTGTTTTGTGATTTTTTAGTTTTATGGTATTGCATTAATTTGATTTTTTCTTTTAACAAATAAAGTATTATAGTATTTGTACATTAATTTTTTTTATTTTAATATGGGTTTATTAGGGATAACCCCCTTGTTCATATTTTCTAATGAGGTAGATCCAATTAATTTTTCCCTTTTTGAGATACACCCAAATTTGCCAACTTGGCAAAATATATTATATAATTTCCCTTTAATACCCCTGTTTTATTTTTGAACGGCATTTATTTCCTTAACTACGTGATATGAGATTTGCTGATATGTTGCCTAAAATCACGGAATAAATTTACGTGAGTTTATTGGCCGTTTTTTTCAAATCGTGTACAATCTGTTTTGAAGATTTTCTCCAGCGTTTCATCGTTTTTCTATCGTCTTTGAAGATTTTTTCACCGGCGTGGAAATATGATCGGATTTGAGCGTTCATTGTTGTACGTTGTTAAGCGGGTATGAATGCGTTTTTTTTCGTTTTTTATTTTCGTTGTATGTCCAGGGTTGTTGTGTACGGTGGTTAGACATTTTTAAGAGTTGTGTTGATACTTGATTCTATTAAGTAGAACGTTTTTTAACAAAATTACGTCGTCACATATACATCGTTATTTTTGGCTGATGATGTTTGTTTGGAAGGGGATTCACAGAGTTATAAGAGGATGGTTCACGCAGTCGGACCAGAGTTGTTTTATTTGAGCGTCGTAGTTGGTTTATGCAATAATCGAAATAAATGTCTGTTGTGGTCGAGTTCATGAGTTTGATCCATATTGATAGTTGGTTTATTTGTTTACAACAGTCGATTTTAGTGTGCTCGGTAGTACATTAAAATATATTTCGTAGTCTTTTTTAATTTAGCGTATGAATTTTGCATTTAAAGTTTATTTTTGATGATATTAATGTATTGTCATTCAAATGTATTTGCAGTATATTTAATCATTTTTTAGTATTCTGCATTTTTAATTTTGTTTCATGATTTTAGGTTTTTTCGATGGCGAATTTCGTACGGATTTTGTTGAGATTTGGTGGGATGGTTGCTATAAAGAGGTGTTTACGATGTAATGGCTCGATAACTTCGGTTAAGTGTTAAACCGTTGTAATACAGTAGTATACTATTACGAATACCGTATGATACTACCATTATCATTTTATTATACTATCATGAGATTATTAATGTACTAGAGTTTTTTAACTCGACATATTGGTTTGATTGTGTTATGATGTGTTTTATGTATTTTATCAAAACCCTAGATTGAAATTATGAGATTATTAATGTACTATTTTATTGGTTATGTTGGAATACTTTACGTTGGTGTTGTTCTCAATGTTCTTGTCATTTCAGTGGTATATTGTTTGTTACACAATTTCATATCACTACTATAACCGTAATATACTACCATAGCAGATTAATGTACTATATTGAAATTATTAATATACTTTGTGGTTGAATAATACGGGATCCATAGTCGATTAACGAGATCCATAGTCGAATTAGATCAATAAGATAGTCTATTACATGATATAAGGAAAATTACCCTAATTAATTAGTATTTCAAACAAACATATTATTCAATTTCCATATATATTATTATTTTTTCATATATATTATTATTTACCCTAATCGTTTTCATATAATAAGGAAAATTACCCTAATTGATTAGTATTTCAAACAAACATATTATTCAGTTTCCATATATATTATTATTTTTCCAATAGTCAATTAACTAAACCCATAGTCGAATTAGATACATGGGATAGTCTATTAAAAGATATGAGATAGTCTATTAATTTTAAAACACAAATCCGCCGCCGTCACTTCTCAAATCTAGGGTTTTGATGATTCATCGGCCCATAGTTGATTAACGAGATCCATAGTAAAATTATACCAGTGGGATAGTCTATTAAATGATATGTGAAAGTATATTAATACAGATGTAACTTGACTATGCATCTCGTTAATCAACTATGGGCCGAAGAATTATCAAAACCCTAGATTTGAGTAATCCTAGATTTGAGTAACCCTAGATTGGAGCAGTGACGACGGCGTCGACGGCGGACAACGACGATATCACTCCTAAATTGATTGTTACGACCTTGGATGCGGGAGCGGCGGAGGTCTTGGTCGTTTTTGGCGGTCTTGGAGGTGGAGGTGGTCGGATGTGGTGGTGGTGGATGACTAGGCGATGGTGGAGGTGTTGCTTATGGCCAATATCGTTGTTATCGTCGTTGGCCACCGGCGACAACGGTGACGGAGGTGGCGGCGGTCGGAGGTGGAAGCGGCGAACCCGGCGGGAAAATAGGGAGGGATTTCGGAGTGCAGAAAATCGTCAATCGCCGGTGTATAAATTTCTGGTTTTCTGTGGGACGTTTGCAGATTTTGATAGTGGTTTTGTGGGGATAGTGTTTTAACGGGAAAATAGAGAGAGATTTGATATTATTTCAAAAAGTAAAGTAGCGGGATTTGTGGGATTTGATTGAGGGTACTTATGTAATTTAGAAAAGTTTGGGTTTTTATCAAAATGGCAAATTTAAATTTGGATCTACCCCTATTATTTGAATGTTTAAGGGGGTTATATCTAATAGACCCTTTTAATATTGCACTTAATGGAATTAGCAGTGCCAGTAACCGCGGCCTTTGTAGTATCATTTAGTTAAACAATTACTTTCTTCCTTTTTTGGATGCGACACCGGGCACGATTACTAGTTATATTATATATAAATCACTAAAACTAATATTCTTGCGTATGTGCAAACAAAAAGATATTTTACTTGTAGGTCCTTCAACTCATTTTATTTAAAATACTTCGCATTGATTATTGAATATGACACTAAATGAATCTCGGAAATGCGAAACACAAGAGTTCCAAATATTTGTGTTGGTTTTCTAAAACAATTTGAATCAGTGGAATCAAAGATCATTTATATATCTCACTAATCATAATTTTACGTATATTTATAAATTTTACATCAAAATTTGAATCAAACGAATACAAGCAAAAATGTGAAATTTATGGCAAAAAATACTGCCGTCGATAGTAGAGTTCGGACAATGGTATTTAATGGAGTTGTTTACGCCAATCAAATTAAAATTCCAAAAAAAAAAAAAAACAATATTATAAAATGCGTTCATGCTTTCTAATGCAACTTGAATCGGTGCAATCAGAATTCCTATGTATAAGTTATGCTAAAAAAAGTTAATAATAATACTAATTTTAATTATTTATTATTTTTTTTCTTAAGTTACTTTCTAGCTTTTAGCAATCCACACTTGATAAATGGGCTTAAAACCGAACGGGTTATAGAAAGAATCGGTCCAGCCCATTTCAGTTATATTATAAGTAATTCTTCCAAAGAAAATGCACTCACTCACTCACTCACCTTCTCAATTTAACCCTATTTCCAAATGATACCTTTTCGCAGGCTGAATAAAAATTCCATAGTCGCGGCAGCAGCTCCCATTTACAATGCCTTTTTTAGCACCCAAATTCCATCCTCCGCCCATTACGACGACTTGATCAACGCCGCCGGCAAACAAGGAGACTTCGCGTCTGTGCGCCACCTCCTCTCCAAGCGATTGAGCCAAGGATGCCTCAACACCAACAAAACATTCAAGTTCATCGCCACAGATGTATCCGTACTCGACGATCTCTTGCTAAATCTCGCCGCCATCGACGATTGGTTTGTCAAAAAACACGCGCACGACTCGTTGGTGGCTCAACTCGCCAATCTGCACCGTACGGCAGAGGCCCTGCGCGTGGCGGAGATCATGGGGAGAAAGAACTACGGCGCCACGGCGGCGACATTCAACCCAGTACTCAACGCCCTGGCGAAAAAGAAGGATATGCTAGCCGCTTGGCGCGTGGTCGATGCGATGCGCGCGTGCAATGTCAAGCCCAATATAACGTCGTTCAACTACATTCTGACGGCGTACTGCTTCACAGGTGATGTGGCGTCGGCCGCCGACACGTTGGTGAAAATGGAAGAGGAAGGGATGAAGGCCGACGCGATTACGTACGACGCCCTGGTGCTCGGCGCGTGCAGGGCGGGGAAGGTGGAAGGGGCAGTGGCGGTGATGCGGAGGATGGTGGATGATGGTGTGGTGGCTCTGTTTTCCACCCATGGCCACATTTTAAAGGAGATGGTTGGGTGTGGATATTATGCGGCCGCCGTGGATTACGTGAGGATGTACGCCGGTGGAGATGAAAAATTGGATGCCGAGAATTTCGGGTATCTTGCGAGGCGATTGAAGTATGTGAAAAGAATTGAAGAGGCGGGGTCTGTGGTAGTGGAGATGGAGAAAAGGGGTATACAAATTGATGATGGATTGAAGGATTTATCGCCAAGTTTCCTTTTAAGAGATACTGGAAACTAATTTTATGTATTTCTCTGATATAAGGGAGGAGAAGAAAAAAAAGTTGTAGTAGATAAACTTCCAAAAAAATCTTTTTAACTTAAGCTTTGATAGTTATGGTCTTTTTGATAAACTTATATCAAAAAAGGTTGGGTGTTGTAACTTTTTAAAGCCACATTAAAAAAATTAAGTACATATATCAAATGCAGAGGAGATATAAATTTGAAAAATATTTGTAGGATACAAATAAATTGAAGGTGTTATGGCACAGTGCCCTCTAGGCCTGCACTCACTCAGCCAACTGACTGTCTGTCTCATTTGGATGAGAGAACAAGGCATGACTTGAGAGTTCAAAGTTCAATACATTTTGCTAATCTTGAATAACCTCAGTTCGACAGCCTCCGAAAAAAAAACAAAAAAAAAATTAGAACGGCAAAAAAAGGGCCACCACCTGCAGAAACTCCACAGATCCCACCTAGCCGACCAGTAGAGATCATGATCGCCGCCACCATAAAGAACCTAGAAAGTAGGGCCAGAAGGGAAGGGAGGAGAACTAACTCAATGAAAATCAATAAATTTTTCGAAAACCACTATAAAATTAAAGTAAAAATTATTATAAAATAAGCATAATCCACATGAATATTAACGTAATCCACTATTAAATTAGTGTAATCACTCTGAAATAAGCATGTTTTAGGGAGGAGAAAACCGAAGATACATGAAAACCACTCTATATAAACATGAAAACCACTCTATATAAACAGCTATATAAACATGAAAACCACTCTGTATAAACAACTATATAATAATGAAAACCACTCTGTATAAACAACTATATAATAATGAAAACCACAATGTATAACAAGTATGTAAACATGAAAACCACAATGTATAACAAGTATGTAAACATGTAAACCACTCTGTATAATTACAAATTCGTTTTTTTTTTTGCTCGGATAAACAACATAACGTCCAAGCAAAACAAACATGTTTATACATCTACAATTCTCTCGAGATAACTTCCGATTAAGATGTTCGGATTCGATAATCCATTGAAGACCGGTATTTTTCGAGGTTGATAACTCTACAAAGTGAATCAAACAATATCGAACACCTAGCATCTCCACTTCACCCACTGTGAGTGCAACATATCCAAACCACAATACAAACTGCAGATTAATATATATATATATATATATATATATATATATATATATATATATATATATATATATATATATATATATATATTAATTATACTTACAAGGTGTATTCATAAGAGAGGGTTTCTTGTCTTCTTAGGCTAACACCCAATTAATACAAAACATCAACACGTAGAGAGAGAGAGAGTTGGATAGGGGGAGATAATTCCGTAATTAAATCAGTAACTAACTTCCTAATTATTAGGATTATTTAATGGAAAATATATTATATATCTTTTAATATCAAAATTAAATATACATTATTTCTTAATTAGGGGTATAATAGTGATAATTAAGTGTTTTTAATTAATAAAAATTGTTTTGGATTTATCTTAAAAATGTAAAACAAAATTGGACTCATTGTAATGACACTTGTGTAATGAGGGAGTTTTGTCAAATTTTCCCTAAAAACTAAGCATCTAGATTTTCACTAATTAAGCAACTATTATATATAAATGTATATGAAAAAGAGAGCAAACCACTATTGGCTATACTAATTAAAGAAGGTAATTAATTACCTATGTCCACAAGACATGTAATAATACATCGGCATGTCAAATTGCAGCTTCATCGTCCATACCAACAAATTGTATATTAGTTCCTATGATTCCGTCGAAGATAGATGCTTTGAAAGGTACGGGGTCGGAATCATCAAGCTTCGCCGTAAAGTTCAAATACAAATACGCACCCGCATTAGCAATTCCAAATAATTTTATCAGCTCCACCACCCGGTATTTTTCCGACTGAAACATGAAAAACAAAAAAAAAAGTAGTAACAAAATTAATAACTGAATTTCAACCCAGGATGTAAGACAAAATAAATAAGTCTAAAGGAATTTAAAAAAAAAAAAGAAAAAAAAAAGGCCATACCTTATCTTTGTTGTAGAAATCAATTGCTAACTTGACCATAGATTGGAAATATTGCAGACCATTGGGCTCACCAGATCCGGGGTTATCTCGATCATAAAAGAGTATGCCACATCCCTAAATTATTAATTATAGATAGGGCGAATTATTTGTTAGAAAAAAAAAAAATAACAAAAACAGATGAAAATTAAGGAAATTAAGAAAAGTGTTGGGTAATGTACACAATCATTGTCTGAGTCGTATTCATATTCATCTCCCTCAAATTCCTTCTCAGAATATTGCGAACCCATCTCTCTCTCTCCGATCTCCGTAGCAATCTCTCTCTCTCTCTCTCCGATGATCTCCGTAGCCATCTCTCTTTTCGCCCACACAAAGTCGATCGTACTGAAAACCGAAGCCCTATTGGTTTCTCTTTCATATTTGTTTCCTTTTTATAGCCTCACCTGTGGGGTCGGTTTCGTGGATTCTTCTCGTGACCTATTAAGGTTATTACACTTTTCGCCCGGTACTATTTCACTATATTAATTTTAGTCCCCATATCTCTTTAGATCACTTTTGGTCCCTAAATATAGTCATTTTATTAGAGCACATATCTAATTAGGCTCTTCACAAATAAGCTCATCAATGGGTACTTATAAAGAGATCCAGACAATAAATTCTTTTACAAAAAGTCTATACATGGTCCAATTTTTGTAAAAGATTAAAATATCCCCTCATACTTTAATATGCTCCAATTTCATCATTTAATTTAATCTAACCTCAATTTGACCCCAAATTTTACAAATTATTCAATTTTGACTCAATTTGTCCACCACCAGTTTCCGGCGTTAACTTTTTCGATTTTCTTTTTCTTTCTTTCTTTCTTTCTTTCTTTCTGTAACATCTTTTTTTTTCGTTTAAACAACAATATTGCTGTGATTGACAGTAATATTAACTGTATTACTGTTAAACACAATAAAATTAACTATACTACAGTTTAACACAGTAATATTGCTATATTAATCTCTAGCACAATAATATTAACACAACAAAAACTCATTATTATTGTGTAATAGAGGAATATTACTATGTTGACGTTCAACAAATGTAAACATAATAAAAAGCCAAAAGAATTAATATTACTGTGAGTGACAGTAATATTACTATAACAACGGTAATATTACCTCCAACCACAGTAATATTACACGAAACGAAACGACTGAAAATAAAAAAAAATCACACTAAAACGTAATTTTTTACCTCATTTACGTGATCGATGTTGGCCATCTTGATAATCGTTGGGTTTTAACTGATTTCTACGAAAACAAACACGATCTACGAAAGTCGAAATATTTGGACGTTGAGAGGATTTTGTAAAAGGTTAAAGTGTTTTTTGACAAATGAATTATTTCGCACTGTAGCTGGAAAAAACCACACTATGAATAGTAAACCCCTAAATTTATTAAGAGCAAGACTAAAAATTATAAATACAACCCAATATTAATTTTGATATTATTAATTCAAAAAAGGCCTAATTGCTATTGCAAGACCAAAAAATATATATATATACATATGAAAAATGACCATTCTTCTTCACCAACAAAACTCAACCTCTTTTTCTTCACACTCATTCTACACATTTTTTCCAAAAAAAAAACTCTTTCATATTCTCCAAAAACCCTCATCAAACAAAACCCTCAAATCTTATTAAAACTTGCAAATGAGGACATTATGGACACACAAGACATCAATATGGATGATTCTAAGGTCGAAGAACACAATGGGATAAGAAATATTGTACTTTTTTAAGCTTTGTGATTGTTTTTCTCGTTTCTCGAAAATAATTTCCCGTACACAAATATTCAACGTTTACAGGTCGATATTTAGCTATAAAAACAACATTATAGAGTTGAATTTTTCAGTTTCTAAAAAAATCGACGCCAACATGTCGTTTTAATTGCTAAAAATCGACACATTGACGTCGAATTTTGAACAAAATATCGACACACAAATGTCGAAAAAAGTGCAAATAATCGGCAACAACTTATTGTCGAAATTTAGTGAAAAATTCGACACCAGTGTGTCGAAATTTTACAAGGCGGTGGTCGACTCCATCGGCGACGACGACGGCGCAGCGAATTTGAAAGTAGTCCTCTTCTTTCTTCCCTCCCGTTTTTCAATTGTGTTTTCATAACTTTTTTTTATTATTATTAAATTCGGTGCAAGGTTAATTAATAGAATTAAGTTTTATTTTGTTTATATTTTACTAAGGTCATTATAGTTTTTTTACACTTAATTGGACATAAAATTTAATTTAATCTTGCCCTAAGTAAATTTTGTGATTGCATATAGTCGCCGTATTTTTATATAACTCCTTGTGTAACTTCTTGTAACTCCTAATACTTTTACACATATAATAAAATCTCTCCATCACCCAATTCAAGTGCACACCCAACAAATATGAATTATCTCTCGCCGGATCTTGTTCATTTACATTTATCTGAGTCTCTTTAAATTGTTGTTTACATTATATTATCTTATATGTATTCTATAGGGTAAATTACAAAACCACCTGAGGTATAGTCAATTTAAAAAAAAAAAAAATGCCCTTGTTTGAATAATCACATCTACCCCCAACTATGATTTTTTCTTACACTTCCATCCTTATAGTGTCAAATTCAACATAATCATCTAGATTTTGTGGAATGTGCTCTAGTTTGTACTCATTTTGTGTAAAAGTACAGTTTCTGATGCACCACAATCTGATACATACAAGCCAAAAAACACATATTATGATCACCTTGATTCAAAATGTAGAGTTTGAATGGGATAAAACGGGTACAAAAGCGATAATATTCTATATAATCTCGAAGATTCCATTAAATTTGAGGAGTTGAGGGGTGGTTGTAATTATCCAAACAAGAGGGGGGTTTTGTAATTTGACCATACCTTAAGGGTAGTTGTAATTTACCCTATTTTATAATTTTCAAACCAAAGAGCAATAAAAATAGACCATTTTACAACAAAAGTTCAATTATTTTCTGAATTCAAATATGTTGACACAATTCCATGACATTAAATTCCTACATGTTATTTGCCGGCCATTCTTTACTACAGTTGAAGGGGTAAAGTGTAAAAAATGGCATAATTAAGAGCAAATGCCATTGAAAAAATCATTTTGAAATTATGTAAATTAGTTATATTATATTATTTTCTTATATTAAATTATTTAGATTTTTTGCATAATTAAAGCGATAATGCCAACGTAGTCGTTTGAAGAAAAATCACAACTCACAAAATTCAAAAAAAAAAAAAGAAAAACATAATGAAATGCTAAGAAAGAATACTGGCGATGAGATGCAAAACGCTCATTATTATGGTACAATGAACCAAATAAATTAAGCATAATACCCACGGAAAAAGTTCCAACTTCCAAGCTAACAATTAACTAATTATATTAATGATGAGAAAATGGTTGCATAAGTGTTGAAACCATCAAGATCAAAAAAGACAGAGCAGAGCAGCCGAATCATGAATAAATAATGTTGGCAAAAGTTTCTCTTCATTATACTGCAGTTTTTCAACAACCGAAACTAAGTACAAAAGCAAATACTATGATACATCCCTCTTGCTTATACTCGTATTCACGAATTAAGAAAAGTTGTATGAGATTAAGCTATGAAAAATATTGTTCGACATAAATATACAATATATGACTAACCTGCACGAAGACAGTTTGATGAATCCTTTTCTGCTTAAGATGATATACGAACAATGTTACTCAAATTTTCACCGCACTAACAAATGCGAAATGGTCGTCAATTTGCATGTGCCTTGTCCAATTAGTAAAGGTGAATGGTTTAAAACCAAAATTATTATTATGTAAAATAGATAAACAAGGATTTAATATTAACATTTTTGCAATATAACAGAAGAAGAAACTGAAAGACTATAAAAACTATATTAGATTGACCTTGTTCATCTTTTACAAAATATACATATAAATTACAAATTATTACAAATGAACATGATTCTGGAAAGGGTTAAACTTGTGTTCAACCAATGCGAGACCACTGCGTTTATCTGTGAACAATAATTCACATGATGTGGAATTTGGACTTAAAAATCTACAGATTCCAATTCGACGTGTGTGCCGTTTAGTTTGTACTTCCAAAACCAGGTTCCACTATCCATCAGTTCATCTTCTATAGGCTTCAGCTTCATCTCTAAACCTGAAGTCATAATTCAATCAAATTATAAGAGTTATAGAGAGGTATACAATTTTTTAAATCAAAGAGATATGATTGAACTTGAACATATGTTCTCTCACCATAATACATGATATAACATTTTTTTTCAAACACCCGATACACCACGGAAAGCTGACCAGGGACTACTATAACGTATGTTCAAAATTTTGAGTTGATCGTGTTACAATTTAGTTCTCCTACAACCCACATACATCATAATACCTAACCCATACACCATTTTATAAACGAAACAAGTCATGAATCCATATTTCAAGACCGTTAATTGAAAAAACAATAGTTTACTAGCCAAACTAAATACTATGTGCCTTCTGCCTAATTTTTTCCTAGTTTTCTTTAAAGCATCTGAGAAATAACTAATATTATGTTTAATGGCATGTCCTTTTCCCAATATAAATTACTTCTTAAGCTAACCTCTGTTGAAAAGAATAGACAACTGATATGCCTGACACAGATTTGTTAGCGGAGTACCGAGCAATATTGGCACAAAATGTTTTAACTTAACCGAAGAAATTTTCAAGTGCAATTTGATTCATGCGCAATCAGGCCACAATGCGGTGGAACACTAAAACATTGAATAAGTAAAGTATACAAAAATGGAAACCGTGTACACACCTGAAATGCCTGATGTGATCTTCAATTTGTGCCCATCTGGGACATCAAAAACATGATTTCCCTGTTATAAGAGAAAAGAACAAATGAAATTTGTGTCCACTAAGGATTATCACATTTGTTAACAAGCTTGAACTAGTTGAATATGGTTTTCACCACATCAATCTTCAATGTACAGAACTTTAAGCAACTTATGAACATGCTCATTAACCTTAGTCTATCGATTTTTTCTTCCAAGAAATGCCTTGCAACGTACTAATCTCCACCCAAAAATTATTAAGATGTTATTCCCAAATAATTGATGCATTATAAAATTTGAAGTTGCAAGTCGCAGAGGTGTCCCAAATAATTGATGCATTATATAATTTGAAGTTACACAAAAACCCAGAAATCTCCGGCATTAGTCCTCCGAATAATATTTGTTACAGATTACTTCGTTTCTTAGCTTTTCAATCTTTGAACTATTCAAATTTCAAACAATTCAGAAATCTGTATTAATTCTTGGCCAATAAGTATATTGGTGTAGGTCTAAAATGACAAATGCAAGAGTGTAGTATATGTAAAATTACTCCCAATACATATTATATGTATATAATATCTATAATGCTAGCAAGAGAAACTACAGACGGACCTGTATTACAACATCCGTAGCTTCGAATTCAGCATTTCCATGTAGGATAACCTTTAAGGTCCCAAACCGCTGCACTTCATGCTTCCAGTACAAGTTATCTTCTGAATTCCAATCAATTCCGCCATTCACTACTCTTACATTCTCTAATTTGCACCTTGCACACCTGTATAAATGAAACATTATTTATTGGCTATTCGTCTCCATATTTCATTACAACTGGCTATAGCAGTACCTTCTTCCATACTGCAATATAGGTTCACCAATTTCATTAGTCTTAGTTGAGCCCACAACATTTTCAGCTAAGATGATCAAACTTCCGTCAAGCTGCATTAAGCGAGATACATCAGGAAATAGTAAATGAAAGGAAACTGCACTTTCATTATTCACAATTACACTACCTGAACGTTCCTCCACAGAAACTCGGCGACCTCTATTTGTAACTCGGAGCCTTTAGAAATGGAACCACCCAGAAACTGGCAAACAAGAAGATAGATAGAAAACAGTCAACAAATGTACCAAGAATAGGGAATAAATTCTCCAAGTAGATGACTGTCATTACATTGTTCCAAATGAAACTCAAGCAGAATAAAAAAAATTTAACACAAATGTAAATGAACTTATACAGTTACGTATACATTACCTTCACATTATAATAACGCACGAGAACTGAATGAAGAAATTTGACTTACCTTTTGTCTGGTGACTTCCCAAAGAGGGCCAAGAGCAGGATGAAGGAGGATGAGATATGGCGGTCCAGAATTAGCATACTCTTCATTACCTTCAACCTGCAAAACAAGGAAGAGAGTTTATATATATACTAAAGTTTCGCATAAACCACTCTTCTACTATAACATAACGTTGGATGGAACAGTGTTTTCAGGTAATTCAACAAATAACTAAGAAATAAAGCCAAAAGAGATCTCGAGTGTACCTTTGGCATTGTAATTCCACAATGAGAGAGTAAATCATAAGCGTTACGCATGATGTCCAACAAAGAACCATCTGGAGTCTGCAATCAGAAGCTAACATAAGTATCCAGAAATTCAAAAAATAAGTATGAAATTGTTTGTCGATTAGCACCTGGTGAAGTGAACTGTCAGCAGGTCGCCTCCTCTTCTTAGCAGAAGAAGTAACCTTTCTTCTTTCATTATACACAATAAAGGTATCCAGCCCATCTGAAAATGTTTTAATCAGAATAAATCCCATGTAGCACCGAAAATGAGATTAAATAATAGAATTCTTCAAAGCATGTCCTGACCTTCTACACCCTCATAGCATCGAGACGAATATGTGTTGGAAAAATTATCAGCAATATTTTGCATCGTGCATTCGAGACGGCCTCCAGAAACACTAGCACGAGTAATAAATTAAAATAGTTACAGAACAATAAATATAAATACAGAGGATATGGTGAAAATGTGAGATTTATAATATATGAAACTGTGACGATTGACCACATATAAATGTAAAATAAATGCAAGTAAGACAAGTGAAATGTCTATACCAAACCACAGGCACATTTATCATTATCTGCTCATTATAAAGATAATATCTGGAAATATACAACTATTTAGTAGCCAATCATACATACTTTCCTCAATTTCCCGGTTCCCAATGAAATATTGCAATCAAAATCAAAGTGACCAATCTTAAATATTCAATTGCAGTATCATTTTACTTTACCTGACATACAGTGACTTTTACATTATCTTTGTTTTATGTTTTCCAGATTGATGCAAAACTCAATGTTCCTTTGTTGGCTCTAATCAATGTAAAGTACCAAATCAAAACACGAAAAATACTGAAGGATGTCATACTGAACTTCTACTTACAGATAGATATAAAACATATTTTACCAAAATTTCTTTAAATACGAGTAAGAAGTTCTTTAGTTAAATATGAGTACTGCTAACAGAGAGTCCCAAGTCATAAGTTTGTACCAGTGTTTCATTCCAAACTGATCCATATATGTAATTGGCTTTTTTACATTAAGCACCATTCCTGGCAAACTGCTCTTGTTTTTGCTTGATCCAATAAGCTCAGCAGACGGTAAATCCACGTAAAGGATATTTGTGTTAGCAGGAAAATCTCCCTGCAAACTTAAGAGAAGGAAGACATTACAAGTTAGAAGTATTCAAAGCAATTTGTTCCAGAAAATATGATAAAACACATCATTATCAGATATATATATATGGAAAGAATAGCATTGTCACAACAAAGGTACTAGGAAGAGAAGAATACCTGCTAGGAGAATGGGGCCCGGCAGTGATTCCAAACTTGTCAAACTCAGTGTATTCAATACAAGACAAACCATATGCCCATTTCCCATCAATATTCTTCTTCTCAAGTAGAACATTGATGCCTTCTGTTGCTCCAGCATTTCGTTCACATGAGGCAAATCCTAATTTCTGACAAAAGAGAAACCAAAGCCTCTTAACGGTGCCCTATATTAAAGTCCAATTTATTTTTTCTCCCTTAAGTATGCGCAAATATGGTTTATGTATGTAACTTTAGACCAACGACTTTCATAAGTATATTGTAATACATGTAGTTTTGCAGTAACAATGAATCAGATAATGTCCATCCATCTCCCCTCAGGGTTAATACAACCCTTGAAGGAAAAATACCCCTCATATTATGGTGAAAACCATAAGACGACGTCTGTAAGGAACAAGATGACCAATAAGGCGTAAGGGATTTGTATAACATAAAAGATAAATAGATACAGCATAGAACAGTTGTTTGGAGCGATTGAGCCAAAATATAATGAATAACATCGGATGCAGTCTCTACGATTTATTTGTCAGTCTTAGTAAAGGTAATAACATATGATAGATACCAGTCGGTAATATCAGTTGGCTGCAAATCTTGCTGCACCCAATACACCATGACATGTTACAGAGTTGCATTTCTGCCATGTGCAGTTAAGAAGAATAAGAGATTGAATTCTTGCCTTTTGGTGGCGTAGACCAATTCCAGCCAAAGCTAGTAGAGTTAAATCCGTGGCAGCTACAACATTACTGTAAAGTCTCAGTGTCAGTGTATTATCCGGATTCAAAATAGTATAATACAAGAAATAGCCAAACCTGATTTGTCTGACAGTTGCTCCTTTTCTTGCATGACTGCGAAACCATTTGAAAACCCCTTTATCATGGGCCAATTTCCATATGACACCATGACCCCCAGGCTTACATACCGGTTCAAATGGTCTTGTTACAATCCAATCCCCATCTTCTGCTGTAACAGCTGGAACAAGAGGCTGCCAATGAATTGACAGACTAAATCATAAAACAACGGGCCCAATAAAAAAATCATTTTTTACGAGTATTGACATCAGAATACACATATTTAAACCTGTTCAAAAAGCATGAAGCTCGATCTTCCTCTTCCAAACCATTTGAGCTTTTCACAAAGACATGTAATATGGCTGTGGTTGTTTTTTGCAGAGCTTGTCATAATTGCAACGGGAGTGATGCATTGTTTCCCATACAATTTGAAGTACAAGAACTCTCTAGCCTGGCAGAGTATATATAAAAGCTATCAATTATATTACAATAGGATATGATTTGATCCCTCAAAAGAAATTTTTCATTCATAATAACAGTTTATCTTTAATCACCATAGGCACAGATCAAATCCCTGCTTCAAAGATAAAGATAAAATACCTGAAGATCTCTTACAAGGCCCTCCAATAAAGTTCTCCCACAATAAGGAAGCATTGCAGCGGGAAGGCATTCGCCTGTTTCAGGATCAACGAGGCCAAGTCTATCCGCCGACCCTCCTAGAGGATAAATTTCTCCTAAGTCAGGCAAACCCTGAAAATGTGTTATGTGTAATACCAGATAACTAAATCCAGATTTCTTAACTGAGGAAGAAACACAATTATGAACTTACCTCAATCCCCCAAAGAGCGGCTTGAGATGCATACTCAGAAGCTTCGGAAAGATGAAGAACAGAGGGAGGATGAATTTCCACAATCTGACATTTCAATAACTTATTTATTTGCTGGGACCAATTAATGGTTTGCTCTTCATGACTTGATTGAGCAAGCAGCTCTAGCACACTCACCTGGTAACTGTAACAGGAATATGTTTAAAAGTTGATAATGCAAAAGAGATAATTCCCTAATGCCAAACGTCAAGAAGTTCATAATCAAGTAACATACTGGCCTCAGTGTCTATAAAATCTACAGCTATGCAGAATTTTTCCATTCCTCGGTGAAGAATGAAAACGATATGTCATTGATATAGCAATGGAGCAACTAAAAATGTTGAGATGAAGTCTTAAGCAGTGAGGAACAGCATTCAGTATTTAGGGAAATGGCCTTCCCATTGTGATATCAAGCTTTATTAAGTGCTAACAAGTATAGATGAGAAAACCAGAGGAAAAACTAGATGAATTATGAAAGATATTACAATGCTATTCCATTCAACTGAAAAATAATACTATGATATGTGACGTGACAGGAAAAGTTTGTTTTTGTTGTAAAACGGCCAGAGCGTCCAAATGAGCAAATATTCGAGATGAGCACCCGCGTCGAAAAGAAAAAGTCAAACGAAAGAAAAGAATACGATCAACTACAAGAAGTAAAGAGTTATTATGTATTCACTTGAATAAAATTATGTAAAATCTGATGCTGTGTTTATTGATGTTTCCCTGCAAATTCTACTTTAAGAAGACTAATTTTGATAAGCAGTATAGCAACAAACTATCCTATATAGTTAATTCATATTCATAGTACAACCTAAGGGGTGGCAGATCAATGGCATTAGTGTGAAAAGAACCTAATCGCGCTGCCAATCTCGATTTAGAAACAGAGTATACAACAAAGCCATATATCAGAAAATTAAACTTTAACCGAAAACCAAATATAAAAATGACATTTCCAAAATAACAAGGCAAAAAATAAACATAAATACTAACCCAATTATTCCACCAATGCAGTCATAGAACTGCTCAACTTCACCAAGCATCTTCAACAGAGATCTTAATGCCACTCTATCTTCATCTTTGAAATCGTGACTTGTGCCTCGGCCATTCAAATCCCAATTCTCAATCATCTCAGCTAATGTATACAGCGCAGTTTTGATAGCACTCCTCCCCATTTCCAGTTCACCATTCTCCAACTCTCTCCCAAATTGACCCAGCACATGCTCTTGCCCAGCGGCCACTACGCATTTAAGCAAATACATTTCGTAATCAGTCAAACCATTCCTCCACGAATTGGAAAAGGACTTAACCCTAGAATCCAAGTTGATCGTCTTCAGCTTCTCCGCCAGCGTCCCGCAGCGGGATAGAGCTTCTCTGAGGCCATTGAGCCTGGCAATTTCCTCTTGAAAACCAAAGTCCGGTGCCGAAGGCGCGTACTCCACCGGCGCGGTGGAGACCCTGGTGATCGGAGTGCATGATTTTCGGGACTGCAATAGCAAATGCAACTGTTTGGGCGACGGAGAGTTGAGAGAATTGGAGCTGTGAAACGAGTTATTGAAGAAGAATAACGACTGTGGGGGGTTGGGATTGAAGGTGAAGAGAAGATTTTTATTGTTGTTTAGAAGCGGCGAACTATTAGTTCGCGCCATTAGAGAGAGAGAGAGAGAGAGAGAGAGAGAGAGAGAGAGAAAGAGGGGTGGAAGGTGTGTACCGTGTGGTGTGTGTGTGTGACTGTGCGCCTTTTGTTTTGGAAATGGCGCAAGGATAAGACGAAGATGCGGGAAGCATATACCGAGGTTGAGAGAGATATACTATTCCAACAAAGGAAAGGATACTTGTACAATGCTTTTCGTACGCTGTGCTGAAACGACTTGTACCTTTCGGACCAATTGGGTAGATTTCGCTGTTATTTTGGGCCCCACTGTACAAGCTTGAGATGCATTGATTTAAGGTACTGTATTTTGCTGGGAATTAACGGTCTCTAAAACAGTCATCGATTTGATTGGCTGACTGTAGTTTCCATTTTTCTTTGGTTTTCTCGTTTCCTGTGTGAACTAGAAGCTAATGTCCGTTTTTTTCTTGTTAGTGATAGTATGTATGATTTGATTAGTGCCAAAACTTTCGAATACTACATAAATTAAGCAAAAAGGGAGAATGTGAGATATTCCTAATTTTGGAAATATACAAGAGGAAATCCAATGAATTTTTTTTCCTAGTGAAAACTCCAAATTTTAATCTTAATTTGACACAACTTGAACTAAATGTTTTGCCCTTTTAGTTACAATTTAATACCAGCAGCGAATATTTGCAATCACAAATCTTCTAAGGGCAACACCTTACTTGGTGGAAGACCATAGTATAAATAAACTTATTAAGAGCAAGACTGAAAATTACGAATATAACCCATATATTGATTTTGATATTATTCGTTCAAGTTAGACCTAATTACTATCGCAAGACCAAAAAATAAAAATAAGAAAATTAAAAAACGAGAAGGAACGCTCTAGCGAGGAAGAGAAGAACTGCCATCGTCCATCCGTCGCCGAAGGATCACCGCCGCCGATGAAACCCATTGCACACCACAACCGCTTGACCGTCGTCGCCATACCATTGTCACTCAACCTTCGTGCGAACGCCAATGCTTGAAGAGGAAGAAAAAAAGAAGATGGAGGAAGAAGAACAAAAGAAGAAGAGAAGACGATGACGAAGAAGAAGAAGACGAAGAGGAGGAAGATGAAGAAAAAGAAGAAAATTCGACATGTACATGTTGATTTTTTGGTGTTTCGACTTTTTGGCAAAAAATTCTAGATGTTAATTTTTGTGACAAAATTTGACATCTAGATGTTGATGTCGATTTTTGTACATAAATCGACATGCATGTGTCGAATTTTGACAGCACGAATTTCTTTTTTGGAAACTTAAAAGATCCATCACTTAGCTATAAAAATGCATTAATCCATAGTTTGTTTTCTACTTTTTCTATAGAATCCTTCATACTGATGTCTTGTGACTCCATAATATCATCCTTTGTGTTGTAAATAGTATGGAATGTGTGGTTTCCTAACATAACCACTTGATGGTTTTCAACTTCCCACTAGTTTATTAACTTCCCATATCTATATATGGTGTTAGTGGAGATGTAACTTCTAGGTAACTTCCACATGTAACTCCTTTGTAACTTCCCGGTGGCTACCACCTATATAAATGAGAAACACTCCCTCCCCACGTATCCCACAATTTTCTCTCTACGGATTCTTGTTCTTTGCATTCTCTATTTCTCTCTTTGTCTTGTTATTTACATTCTTATGTATTACCACAAACATAAACCAAAGAGCTAGATAAATAGGACATTTTACAACACGTTATCAGCACGAAGTGCTCGTTGTTATTGTGGAAAGACAATTGTTTATGGGGCGAGGATACTTGAAGAATTCGAGGTGCTCGTGGAAAGGTAATTGTTCGTGGGACAAGGTTACTTGCAGAACTTATGACCCAGGTTTATATGTGAAACGGTAATCTCGAAAAAATATATTATATTCTTTGTAATATTTGGATTTTAAGTGTTTTAAATAAACTTTAATCTCCTTGAAATTTTGATTTCGTAAGAGATGCATGATAGATCTATTTAATGGCATGAAATATATGAATAAACTTTATGTTCAAGTCATTACTTCATTTATGCCGTGGATGATTTGAAAATATGACCCGGTTGGTAGTCCTTATTCTGTGAATAGTATGATTAAAATGCCTTCATATTTCATATAATAATTGTTATGAGCATGTGAAATGATTTCTTGTTATCGGGCAAAAGTATTGGATGTTCAAGTATGAAATATTGTCATGAATTTTGTCGTCTCAATCATGCTATATGATTCTATGTATTTTTCTATATGTGATGATCGATTTAATGTTTGAGATTCAAAGTGATGAAATCTGGTATATATTCTTTTGTCTCATGCTCTTAACATATTATTACTTATGCCTAATGTGATTGTATGAATTCCGCACTATGGATATAATTAGGTAATTAGTAATTAACTATCTCAGTCATTTCAAATTAGTTCGTGGAATTTGTATGAGATATATATACATGATAATTATGATTTATATCATGACAAGTTACACGGTTTTGGTTATCTTTTATACCAATATTACAGCATGCTATATGTCTTTAATGTTTGGCAAATTTACACTGTCTTGATTGCATGAAGACTTTGGTCAATCTCTAATTGAGAATTCTCGATTGACGCATAGTTTATTTGTCATATGTAATTTTATGACATAAGTATGGTAAGCAATATTTGGTTATTTTATATTCTTTGTCTAATGCAAGTCGTGAATAATGAAAACATAAATATGTACAAACATGCATTATATGATTTGTTAGACCAGAAGTTCTAATAAGTGGAAATGTTAATGAAACTGTTTTATGGATGTTACATTCCCATGAAATAATAATACTCTTTATTGTATTTGATTTGAGATAAAACACATGAGCAAATTCAAGTTCACCCAACTTAATGTATCTGGTGAAAGTTATATTAGTTGGAGAATGGATGTTAAGATCCATACGCTTAGTGGCCAGTTGAGAATGATTGTTTTCGATGATAATGTATTAGGTAAAGCCCAGAAGGCTGAGACTATGTTTCTGATTACGAGATAATTAGATGAAGTCCTTCGTTTGGACTATTCATCAAACAAGGGTCCCCATAAAGAATGGGATAACCTCACTAGTCGTCTTGATTACCAAAAGACAATACGCTTGCCTGAAGCAAGGAGCAAATGTTTATAAACGATTTGTATATGAACTTTAAAATCCGAATAGAGCTCAAAATCAGAACATAAATATATGTTTTATATATATAGTGGATCTAAGAATTGGTCGCTGTTGAGTGTAGATTTTACACTCAATACGTTTACTTTACGTGGATCTTTTGTTTAGATTTAATTATATTTGTGCTTTAATTGATTGATTTTGTGTTTTATAGGTGAAAAACGAGAATTAGGTGTCCATGAAGGAAAAAAGATCAAAAATAAAGGAAAAAGTTGCAAATAAGGAAACAAATCAAATTGGAAGAAGGAATCTCGCCACAGCTTTGACAGTGTCCACGATTTCGAGCATATCTCTCTCATACGAACTCCGAATTAGGTGATTTTGGCGGCATTGGAAAGCTAATTTCAAGGGCTACAATTCCTATTTACACAATATTCCAAAATTCGGACTCCAACATTGCGAAAATCGAAGAACAAGTCCTGATGGGGGAAAGTGGCGGAAATTGATTCCTATTAGATTTCTACTACTTCCTTATCAAGAAAAGCCTATAAAAGCAACATGTCTCTACACCATAAGCACGAAATTTTACACCACAAAATACGAAGAACGAAGATCAACGAAGACTCAAGCATAGTTTTTCTTATTTCTTTTATTTTTATCATAAGAATTACGAGTAGCTAAGCTTTTAATCTAGGATTTTATTGGAACCCTATGTGGTAATTTGAACCTATTTTTCTACTTTTATGCAAGTTTAATTCTTCGATTATTTCTTCTATCTTGATCTTATTTAGCGCATGAACGTAGCTAATTTATGTTGCTATTTGTTATTGTTAGAATTGATTGACAGATCGTTTTAATAATTAGAACAGGGATAGAAGAGCCTTCGAGTAGTTTTCACCGGATGAGTGTGTTAATTGCATGTATTATCGTAGACATATAGATAATACCTTAGGTAGCCGTTTACGAGACTTGTTATTTAATGCTTTATTTATACTAGGTTTGCATAGACATATAGTGAATCTTTTATGAATAATAGGCTTATAACGCAGCGACAACTGGTTATGAGTAATTTCGTGTCTTGGGTTAATAATCGAGAATCGTAACTTGCATGATAGGAGATTAATTGGGTGAAGAATTATCGCATAGGGGGAAGATAAAATCCTAGATCCGTTTTATATTGATATTTTCTCGTGTTTAATTGCTTTCTTAATTAGTTTAATTTATTTAGTTAATTAATTTGACAAACTTGCGTAGGCTGGATAAAAATCACAATTGTTAGGATTTGGTACTTAGGATTAAATAATTTGCGTATTCCCTGTGGGATTGACATCCGACTCTCACGAGTCTACTTTACTACTTGTTTGCGATACGTGCACTTGCGTGTGGGTATTTAGCACCCAACAGTCGCGCATCTGAAGTGCGAGGAACGTTGGGGCTGGAGATGCAAATAATAATGCACCAGCATAGACTGAGTTGGTAGAGGCAAATATTTTCTATGTATAGCCCGTCACTCAGCCTCCATACTTGGGCACATCTGACCAAATAACCCTTGTTGGGATATGATTGAATTGTTGATTTCATGCATTATGTTTATTTTATTACTCGGGTTTATTATTTTATTGAATTTCAACCATCTTACTTCATATGCTCATGTTATGAACCATATTCGTATTTTGATTATGTTTAGTTCATGCTCTGGATCATATATTTATGTCACTATGTGTTCTAAGTTAATTGTTATGTTATTCCGTGGTGTTTGCTTGATGAATTTACTTAGTACCTGAAGTACTTAATATATGTGATTAGATTTATATAACTCTCTAGACATGACATGTGGGGATAAATGTATGGCAGATAGTGCGACAACACATACTATCTTGAGAGTTAAGTCGTACTTTATTAATTTCATGTCTATTTGTAGCAAGACCTCTTTGATAACTAAATGAGGGACATGTAGTTTTGATAGATGGTTATGGTAATGTCCACATTATGTATCTCATGGCACAATTATGCCCATTGTAGTAGCTCATTTTTTTTCTATAATGATTCAATTCCTTTCTTGGAGGTAATCCAAGAAGATATATGTGAAATATGTATCACCATCTATAACTTAAATTAAGAACCTTAGACAGGCGATCACTTACCCGCTCAAATTGCGGACTGTCACTTTGATGAGATTGTCTTCCCGCCGTTAGGGGGAGGAAATAACGTCCACACCAACGTTCCTGAAGAACGGCGTGAAGTCGTGTGAGACGACCCCACTATGTCTCATCAAGATCCCCTACTTCAGAGAATTGATATATAGATTAATAGATGATCCACACTAACGTTCCTGAAGAACGGTGTGAAGTCGTGTGGGACGACTACTAAATCTGCAAAGAATGTCAACACTAATGTTCCTGAAGAACAGCGTGAAGTCGTGTATGGCGAATAATGCCAGACTCATTCTATGGTTTGAAAAAGTGACGAGATCTTAAATAAGCCTGCAGGGATAGATGTCCTAGAAGGACAATGACGGGTAGGCCATCAATCCATGCTAACAAGTCTTGCATCCCTTACTAGGAAAGGGGGAGCGCAATGGGACCAAAGGATTCTCACCCCCGGAAGTGGATGAATGTCCAACAATCGAATCCGGTTAGCACTAGTACAAATGGGATCCCACCTGATCCATCTCATAAACTAATTCCTGACTATGGATTCGTCCTGTAGACGAAGTTGGGGGACGCCTCGACATTAATATCCATTCCCGTGAATAGAAAAAACTCGGTTAGTTATTCATGCATGAATGAGATGTGGTATTGGGATGATATGATCATCGATGATAAACTTCTCTACACAGTAGCTACTGAACTTTTTATCGAGTGATGATATAAAACCTCGATCAATTGATAAGCGTAAACAAATGGATGATGGCCGAAATGAAAACAAAAATCAATCCAAGCTGAATTTGATTCCTTGATAAAATGAAGAGTGTAGAGACCAGTAGTTCCATGGGATATAAGTGAGTACTCACAAAGAAAAGAAAAGAGATTGGGAGCCAAAAAAGCTCATCTCATACCTCAAACGAGATTGGGAGCCAGAAGATTCATCTCATGGCTCAAATGAGATTGGGAACCAGAAGATTCATCTCATAGCTTAAACGAGATTGGGAGCCAGGAGACTCATCTCATAGCTCAAGGAATGAAATGAGATTGTGAACCAGAAGATTCATCTCATAGCTCAAATGAGATTGGGAACTAGAAGACACGTCCAATATTGTCTATCTTCGTAAAAAGACTGACATCTAATCTTATGACCATGACTAAGTGTCGTGTGACATCTAATTTTATGACCATGACTAAGTGTCGTGTTCATCGTCAACTCAACTAATACATCATTACTAACAAAAGACTATAATCATGTAAATCGAATGTATCCATATCTTCTTTATCAACATTTATGTATATTTTTCTTCATCTATTCAGATAAATATAATTAAAACAAAGAATAACTAAAGAGAAAAAAAAAATGTGTATTCTCTGATAGCTTAAACGAGATTGGGAGCCGGGAGACTCATCTCATAGCTCAATCAATGAAATGAGATTGGGAACCAGAAGATTCATCTCATAGCTCAAATGAGATTGGGAACCTGAAGATTCATCTCATAGCTTAAACGAGATTGGGAGCCAGAAGACTCATCTCATAGCTCGAACGAGATTGGGAGCCAGAAGACTCATCTCATTGTACAATGATCTAAGAGCAAATGAGATTGGGAGCTCGAAGACTCATCTCATAGTTCAAGGATTTCCTCAGCAACCCGAGATTGATTTTAAAGAGGTATACTCTTTCATGGTGAATCTTATTAAATTCGTGGTCACAAAGTATCTTACGGGGATCTAGATACAAATATTTATATGAAAGTCCCTAAAGGACTATGTTTCCCCAAAACAATTAGTTCCAGACCACGGAACATAAACTTAGTTGGGTTGAGACGTTTACTTAAATTGAGGCTTGAAATATTCCGGAAGAATATGATAATATCCTAAGTGAGTAATTGCTCCGGAAGAGAATATGTGAACAATAATTGATTTTGATTGTTCCCATTACTACAATTTATGTTTAAGGACATGAACTTGATTTGGACTCCTGAAGAAATCAAGTAAGAGAAACTCAATTGTTGAAAATTTGAGTTCAAGATCAAAGATCTAAATGAGACTAATTTGTTGTCTCTGCCAACTTAAAATTTATCATGTCAATTATATTTATGTCCATCAATCAAATTACATCGAGAAGATGTTATGGATACAGAGAAATTATCGAGTAACACCTATGGGAGCTGGAAAGTGGAAAATGTCCAATGATTCATTCCGTCTCATGGAGCAGGACGAGGAAGTGTTAGCACCAGAAGTGCCATATGTAAATGCAATATATGCATTATTATGCTTAACTCCATGTACTCGATATGATTTAGCTTTTTCGGTAAATTTATATGATAGACTTATCTTACCTTACCGACACGCCATATGCATCAATGAATGAGGCGAAACTTGTGGTTTATATTGGCATTGACTAGAAGTCATATCCACAAAAGGCTCGTTCCCAATCCATGGTTAAGTATTGGGAAAATAACTATGTCTTGGGGTTCTATGAAATGTACCTCGGTTGTCACTAGATCAAATCATGCATGATGTTTGTTTCACAAGATAGTGAGTGAATGCACTTGGCCTGAAGCCATGATTAAGCATGTTCGAGATTTTTGTGAATTGGCTACCACAAAAGATCCTAAGAGATTGTATTTAACTGCATTGAGCAAATGAAGACGAGCTTCATTAAATGTGACAACTCCAAGAACATAGTTATGAGGTTTTCTTCAATCAACAATAATAAGAGCTCAAACAATAATGATTCAGTAGATCATGAAACATGATAACTACGCTGACTTATTCACTAAGTTTTCGCCTAAAGTCACTTTGGAAAAGTATGTTAAGGATGCTGACTTGCGTAGATTATACAAGCTCGCTCCCTTGTAGACATCAGGGAGAGTTAACTTGAGGGGGAGTACCCTGTAGGTACTCAGTATCCAGAAGATACCCGAGTGCCCTGTTGTACTCTTTTTCCTTCGTGCGAGGTTTATTTTTCCCACAGGGTTTTAGTTACTCGACAAGGTTTTAATGAGGCAACATTTGTTGATTGAAAAGATTGTGCGTTGTACTCTTTTCCCTAACCGAGATTGTTTTTTTTTTCCCAATGGGTTTTATGACTCGGAAGGTTTTAACGAGGCAACACAAAAAGCACAATAGTGGTTTGATAGGAACCCAAGGGGGAGTGTTGTAAATAGTATGGAATGTGTGGTTTCCTAACATAACCACTTGATGGTTTTCAACTTCCCACTAGTTTATTAACTTCCCATATCTATATATGGTGTTAGTGGCGATGTAACTTCTAGGTAACTTCCACATGTAACTCCTTTGTAACTTCCCGGTGGCTACCACCTATATAAATGAGAAACACTCCCTCCCCACGTATCCCACAATTTTCTCTCTACGGATTATTGTTCTTTGCATTCTCTATTGCTCTCTTTGTCTTGTTATTTACATTCTTATGTATTACCACAAACATAAACCAAAGAGCTAGATAAATAGGACATTTTACAACACTTTGCATGTTTTAGTAAGATCTGAGGGTTTTGGGTGTTAAGGATTTTTTGAGAAGATGAAGAGACTTTTTTTAAGAATTTGTATGAAATGGGTTTGTGAAGAAGATAAAGTGGGTTTTGTTGGTGTGCTCTTGCACAAATGAATTTGTGGAGTTTTGTTATTGTGCATTTTGTATTTTATAAAGGGTATAATCGTCTTTTAGTAATTCATTTGGTGGAAAATTAAATTTGGGCTTCTCCTAAGTAATTTGTGAGATTGCATATAGTCGTCGTCTTTAATACCCTAACCCGACGAACTAAAACCAGATCGTGATTTCTCTTCTCTCTCAACTCTCGTTATCTTCTCTCTCTCGCCGCCCACCGCCACTTCCCCATCGCCTGCGCAATCTATGTCGTCGCGCCTCTTCACCGTGCCGGACCGCCAAATCGCCGCCTTGAATCTCCATAGCCGATCTAATCGGATCTTGCTCCAAGGTTTTATGGCTATTGTTCCTTGATTTTTTTGTGATATAGTTCTACAAAGAACGCCTCAGTGCCCTTGAGATATATTTTTCTTTTATAGATAGATTATAAATGTATGTATCCATTTTTTGATTGGATCCATTTGTGCTTGTTTGTGAACTTTTTTTTTTTTTTTTTGTTTGGATCTTTTCTTATGAACGTTTGTTGATATGTATGATTTTTATTTTTATTTATGTTCTTGGATCCGCTCCTCCTTCGGCCGCTCCTCGGAATTTGTGGAGTCCTCTGTCGTCGTCGCCGTGAGATTAGAGTCCAAAGTTAGGGAAGACGATAGATAGGAGTGGTTGTCGAGTTTTTGCTGCCGCCGCGAGATCTGAGGCCAAAGTAAAGGAATATTTATTTTTTGGGTACTTTTTTATTTGTTTCGATTTTTGTGTGTTTGTGGTTTGATCAATCGTTTTGAGTCCTCCACCGCCGCCGTATTCTGAGGTTAAAGTATATTTCTCCCTATTCTTCTATCTACTCTTGATCTCAGTCTGTTTTTTGGTGTAAATTTCGGTTGCAGCCAAAAAAGTCGATGTTGAAGAAGATGGGCAATAACAGGTCAATTAGAGAGAATAAACTATATAGTCATATGTAGTCATATACTTCAATGGTTTCTATTTCCATATGAACTACCATTTTGTTGTGTTTTAATCAATTGTGTAAGTTTTGTGAAGTTTTGATTGTTTTGAAATTTGAGGTTTTGTGTGTGGTCTTGAAGAAAATGAAATACATGCATGTTTGTTTTTTTATTTTTTATTTTTTTTGTGTTTGATCTTCCTTTCCATTAAGGGTATTAATGTTATTTTCTTTTATTTCTTTTGGTTCTATTAAATTTAGAGAAAAAATGTTCTATCAAAGAGCCGCCCCCAAAATTTAAAGAAAAAAATATAAAAAATACAAAAAGAACTTATGAATTTGAGCTCCTAAAAATCAAGCTCCAATTGGGAAGTGTCAAATGTGAAAAATCAAGTTTAATATAGCTGCATTTACCAAAATTGAAGGCCCCTAAAAACTCGATTTTTTCGGAGGCCCAAGACGGCAGCGGCCTTGCTCGCCTTGGCCTTGGGCTGGGCCTGGCCCCTAGTAGATGGAGTCTCAAGCTCTGTCAACCAAAGTGGCAACACTCTCGGGATTGCTTCATGGGGCTCTATACCCGTTATCACCCTCAACTTGGCCCAAACACCTTCCATATTCGGCCTCTCCATCGCTTTTGAATTAGCACACAATCTTATCACATCACCAATCTGTTGAAGTTGATCTTCCCTAAACGTCTTAAGGGTCGGGTCAACCATTTCTCTAAGCGGTTGTGTTCTGCTAAGATAATCCGAGGCCCAATCTCCAACCGAAAGACTACCCGCCGAGTATGGGAGCCTACCCGTAATTATCTCGAGAAGTACGATCCCAAAGCTGTAAACATTAGATTGCATATTTGGTTCATGAATCTCATCTAAGAATGCAAAGTCTGAAACCTTTGCAGCATAATCTTCGGAGAGATACACAGCTGAGGAATTCAGATTTCTATGGAATAATGGAGGGATCAATTGGTGCATGTGCTCTAGGCAGTATGCTATGCCCATTGCTATTCTCAATCTCATTTCCCAGTCCAAGTGTTCAGCTTCTCTTACTAAAATATAATCCATTAATATATCATAATCAAGGTTGTAAAAAGTGGTAATCGGGTTGGACGCGGTCAGGCACGGACTTACGATTAATCGGCGCGGTGGTGATTAATCGGTGATAAATCGGAAATAAATCGATTTTTAAAATTTAATATAATTTATTTCTAGATATTATTTATAAATACACAAAACATAAATAAAAAAATATTTAAACATAGTTATATCACCATCATGTATATATCCTAATAACATAATAAAAGTTTAATAATAATAAGATCATAATATATAAATATTCTTATAAAATATAAATAAAAAAAACATTTTTTTTAATTTACATTTATTCTTGAACATTCCTGGCATACATCATTAGTTCTCTAAGAATAACAGTTAACATAAATAAAATAAAACATAAACTCATTTTTTTTTATTAAAATTCCAACTTTTATTTTGAATTGAAAAAAAAAACGATTTTTGACCGATTTTTGCCATCGAGTTTGACCTGCCTTAAAGGTTTGACCGCCTCAGACCGCCTAAAACCGCCTCACAGGCAAAAAACCGATTTTCCAAACATTTACACTAAAATCGTAAAGGTTTGGGACCGCCTCCGCCTCGGCCGATTTTAGAACACTGATCATAATAATTAGACGATGCACCAGTGTATTTATGTTACCAGTGTATTTATGTTGACACTTCAATTCAATATGAACCCAATAATATTTTTAATTTTTTTTTCATAAATCAGGAATAACAAAACAATAAATTGACACAAAATTTATGGACTTTACTATAGATGAACTTGTTTAATTAGACTCACAGTGTAGATGCTCAAAGAGAGTTTCATAAGGAGCATATTCGAAAACCAGCATCCTCGTGAAAGGCTCCTCTTCCGCACACGATCCAACTAGGTTCATAAAATTCTTGTGATTCACTTTTGATAGTGTGTCAATCTGAAAATGGCAATTAAGTGCTCAATTAATTGAAGTTCATGAATATGTAGTTATGTATGTATGCAGTACCGTACCGTTAATTGTCTCTATAAAAGTTACCTCGTCCCTAAACAGGGCTTCGAGACTATTTGACCAATCATTAGCAGAAGTAAATGCAATAGCTGCAACTGCTATCTCAACTCCGGTTGACAATGTACCCTTATACAAAGTGCCTAATGATGAAGAACCTATCACGTTGGTAAAATATTCACACGCAAACTCGACTTCTGATCTCTTGAAATTCAGGACACCTGAAATAAAAAATGTTTAGCAAAGAATCCCTACAACTACAAGGAGTAATATTGGCATGTGAATGTGATACTAAAACAAGTAATCATAAATAAATTATCTTCTAATCTTAATTAAGCCTTTCTCAACCCACTCATTTAATCCCAACTATTTATAAAGCATATTAAAAACTGATTGATTGATTCACGAGAAGACAACGACATAAAGCATAATGGCTAAATTGCAAATTTTATGTTGCCTATGATGGAATCAACAATTTGATTCCAGCATGTATCATTTTATTTAATTTTTGGCTAAAATCTTATTCACCCCGAATGGCTAATAAAACTTGTTTAAAAATACAAAATTACATAATTGCACTCGAAAATTGAAGGTAACTTTAGACAATTTTCAAATTGAAGGTATAAACCAGAATAAAAAGAGAATTAGATAAAATGGGAAGTGCCAACAATAGAAAGAAAAAAAAATGAAGTCAAAATACAGAAAACCCAAAAATAATTGGTACATGGTTAGTTTTAAGATAATAAGAATCTTAATTAGACACCCAAGATCGATATAAATCAGAGTATTGAGATACGTAGTTGGAGTGGAGGTATCATCTTCAAAACTGAAACGTGAACTGAAATCGCTGCTGAAGCTTTCGCAGAGCGCAAGGTGCCTAAGTTGAGAACAGCTGCAACCAACCTCTCCCAACTATCATACATCCTTGACATTTTTCAACACTACTCAGCTCCTTCAATTTTCTCTATAAATTTTGACTTTTTCTTGGATTTCTCAACACTCGCTCTACCAAGAATTTCCTTAAGTTCCATAAAAACTTTATTAGACTAAGGACCGGATGTTGATTGTATACTATAATATATTATTATAAGGAATCTTTACAAATAAGCCCATCAATCGGTACTTATTTATAAAGAGATCCATACAATAAACTCATTTACAAATAAGTACACAAATGGTCCAAATTTTTGTAAAAGGCTAAAATAGTCCGTCATACCCTTATGTGCTTCAATTTCATCATTAATTTAATTTAGGGCGAACGGCAAAAAGGCCCATCACAAGGGACTTAAATGCACATTGGTTCCCAAAAAAACAGTCTTTCAAATAAACTAATCCCCATATCTTTAGTAAAATACCCTCCATAATATAATACTTATCAATTCCATCCATTATGCACTAACTTCCTTAATATTACACATTGACCCCGAATTTAAACAAATATATCACATTAACCCCCAAAATAATAATTTTTTGAAAAAATATTTTTTTTTCCAGAAAATAATTTTTTTTCTGAATTTTTTTTTTCCAGCCAGATTCCGGTGTTGACTTTTTTTTTTGTTTTCTTTTTCGAAAACTTTTTTTTCTGAAATTTTTTTCAGCCGGTTAACCACCGTTGACCGCAGGTCTCCGGCGTTGACTTTTTTTTCTTAGAAAAAATTATTTTAATTAATGTTACTATCTTGGCTACTAAATTACTGTCTCAGACAGTAATATTACTGTTTGGGACAATAATATTATGAATATTATTTTCCCGAACAGTAATATTATTAATATTACTGTATGAAACAGTTAAATTACTATAGGAGACAGTAATTTAGCAGCCAAGACAATAATATTAATTAACAAAAAAATTTTAAAAAAAACACAAAAAAAAAGTCAATTAACAGTTAAATTACTGTCTCCGACAGTTAAATAACTGCTGGAGACAGTAATTTAGCAGCCAAGACAGTAATATTAATTAAAAATATTGTTTTTAAGAAAAGAAAAAAAAGTCAATTAACAGTTAAATTACTATCTCCGACAGTTAAATAACTGCTGGAGACAGTAATTTAGCAACGAATACAGTAATATTAATTAAAATATTTAATAAAAAAAATCAATTAACAGTCAAATTACTGTCTCCGACTGTTAAATAACTGCTGGAGACAGTAATTTAGCAGCCAAGACATAATATTAATTAAAATATTTTTAAAGAAAAAAAAATCAATTAACAGTTAAATTACTGTTTCCGACAGTTAAATAACTCTTGGAGACAGTAATTTAGTAGCCAAGACAGTAATATTAATTAAAATATTTTTTTAAGAAAAAAAAATTATTTAAAAAAAAAAAAAAAAAAAAAAACACTGGAGACCGGCGGTCTCCGGCGGTTGACCTACCAGAAAAAAAAAATCAAAAAAAAAAAAGTCAACGCCGGGTGATTTTGGTATATATAAAAGGATTTTCCTTATTTGCAAATAAGTTTGAATGAACTCGATTTATTTGAAAGACAAAAAAGTTGGATGCCCTCTTTTAATTAAGTGCCCTTGTCATGGGCCTATTTGCCATTTGCCCTTTAATTTAACCTCAATTTGACCCTAAATTTCACAAATTATTCAATTTTTACCCAAAATACATTTTTATGGACAAATTCGTCTGTCACCGCCGTTGACCGCCGGTCTCCGGCGTTCACTTTTTTTTCGGCGGTTCCCGGCGGTTACTTTTTTTTTTTTTCCGCCATCGGTTTCTGGCGTTGACTTGTTCGAATTTTCTTTTTTTTTTCTTTCTTTCTTTCTGTAACATTTTTTGATTCGTTTAAACATCAATATTGCTGTGATTGACAGTAATATTAACTATATTACTGTTAAACACAATAAAATTAACTACACTACAATTTAATACAGTAATATTGCTATATTAATCTCTAGCACAGTAATATTAATACAACAAACCTCATTATTATTGTGTAATAGAGTAATATTACTATGTTGATCGTTCAACAAATGTAAACATAATAAAAAGCCGAAAGAATTAATATTACTGTAAGTGACAGCAATATTACTATAACAACAGTATTATTACCGTCAACCACAGTAATATTACAATAATAGATAGTAATATTATCACGTTACTCCGTGAATAACTCAAACAAACAAAAAACTCAAACAAAATAATAATATTGATGTGGTAGACAACAATATTACTCTAACAACAGTAATATTACCGTCAATCACAGTAATATTATTGTGTTTACAAGTAATATTACAATAATAAACAATAATATTATTATGTTACTCCGTGAATAACTCAAACAAAACAAAAAACCCAAAAAATAATAATATTGATGTGGTTGATAGTAATATTATTGTGTTTACATTTATTTTACCATCAACGACAGTAATATAATTACGTTGACTTGTTAACAAATCAAACAAAATTAAAAAAAAAATAACATAAAAAAATAATAATAATATTACGTTAATCTACTGTCAACGGCAGAACAATTACATAAATGTATTGTCTACGGCAGTACAATTACGTTAATGTACTGTCATTGACAGTATAATTACGTCAATTTAATGTCAGTGACAGCACAATTACGGTCAACGTTTAGCGGCGGACGTAAAAAAAAAAAAAAAAAAAAAAAAAAAAAAAAAAAAAACACTAAAAAAATACTAAAAAAAATCAACGCCAGAGACCGTCGGAAACCGGCGAAAAAATCCGGAAGAATAAAAAAAAAAAAAAAGTCAACGCTTGAAACCGGCGAAAAAATCCGGAAAAAAAATAATAAAAATAAATAAATCGAAAAGTCAACGCTGGAATCCGGTGGCAAAAGAAAAGTTTTGAAAAAAAAATTTGAAAAAAAAAGTCAAAATTGGATTTTTGTGGTCAAAATTGGATTTTTATGGACAAAATTGATTAAATTGGGGTTACAATTAAGAATTGGGTAGAAAGAGTTGGGGGTAATATTGTCATATACATGAATGTTTCATTTATTTATAATAAATATTAAAGGGATGGGTTTATTGATGAAAGATATATAACCCCTAAACCTAAAATAATAAAGATGTTTGGTTAGGAACATATGCACAAAAACCCCTTATTATAATATGCACACATTATATTTATTGGGTCTATTAGTGAGAACCCCATCTAGCATTATTTTAATGAGAATGGGTCCAGCTCCTTTTTCTTTATTAGTGAGAGACCCATCCTTTTTTTTTCTCAAATTTACCCTTCATTTATTCGCTACCTATTATACACTACTTTCATGCACTTTTTATTTTTTATTTTAATTTTAATTTTCGTTATTTATTTATTTCTTATCTAACAAATAATATTTTTTAAAAAATATATTTTTTTTAAATTTTTGTTATATCTTTTAAAAATATTTTTTTACTATATTTTTTTTTCTTCAGTTAAAACAACTATATTTCATAAAACAACTATTATTAAAAACAACTATTATTAAAACAATTATGATTAAAACAACTATATATCTCCAACAACTTTCATTTATCAAAATCAACTATTTGTTAAATTAACTATTTGTTAAATTAACTATTTGTCAAAATCAACTAAAAAGTAATAAAAACAACTATATTGTTGTACAAAAACAACTATATTGCTGTACGAAAACAACTATATATCTGTAAATAACACCAACACAATTTCACAAAAAACAACATCCATTATACTACTGATTGAACACAAAATTAGCCTTCAATATAAGAATTCAACCAAAAACTCCAAGTAAGAAAAATGTGATTCGAGAATTGGGTTCCAATAAAAAAAAATCAGAGAAGAAGAATAACAACAACAATAAAACAATTTTGGCGGTGGTCTCTATTGAAATCTCAGACGCAATATGAACACTATCGCCGCTGCATAGTCTCGTCATTCTCCCAGGCGAAAACCCTAACGCAGTCCTTGACGAGAGAATTCCAGGCGTGAAGACCGCCTTGTTTTCGCGGCGGTGGAGGGAGCAACGCCGTTGGAAGAAGAGAGTAGACGGCGACACAAAGATCGAAGAGGGTTGGAGGTGGTGGCGGCGGTGGCGCAGAAATGGAAGAAGTTGGAGGTGGCCGTCTGTAGAGAGAAAACAGAGAAGAGAATAGGGGAAATAGAGAGGACGTGAAATAGGTTTTGTTATTTTAAATATAACATAGAAGGGCAAATTAGATATATTAGTCACGTGAAAATACAATTTTAATTAAAAAAAAATTATTTAATATAAGGTGGGGGGTTCTCACTAATAATCAAAAGAAGGTTATATCCATCTTAATATAAGTAAATGAGTTGGGGGGTTTTCACTAATTATCCCATATTTATTAGACTAAATTACGGCCACCCTGACGTAAGATAAAATTACGAAAAAAACCCCTCTTATTTGCATAATTATAGGCAGCCCCTCAACTATGTATTTTTTACGAAAAAATTCCCTCCAGTTGGTAAATTTGGGGCCGGTTATTCATTAAATTGTACCGAAATTTCGGTGCGTTAAAATTTCATACCATTTAGCGTCCGGTTCGATAAATAAGTGGATACCAAAAGTAAAAATATTTAAAACAATTGATTTTTATTTTATTTTTTTATATTAATTATAGTTTAAATACTACATAACTTTACATATATATATATATATATATATATATATATATATATATATATATATATATATATATATATATATATATAATAATAATAATAATAAACTGTATCACACCTAATTAACGGTTTGGTAATCAGCATATACCGAATTTCGTTAGATTCGATTCTATCGATTTACCGACCGAATAAACACCCCTAGATAAATTTGATATAGTAAAAGTGAAATACATAATTGAGGGGTGATTGTAATTATGCGAACAAAAGGAATTTTTCGTAATTTGATCTTATCTCAGGGGTGGCCGTAATTTGCTCTATTTATTATACCTAAAGTGTAGATAAATCATGTGAACAGTACATCCATATGTATTTATTCCTTTAATTTTCGGCAACGACTATATGCAATTGCACTCAAGTACTACGTGCATACGACCTTCTATGTCTATTGTTCCCTAGGTTTGAAGACCTCACTACCGTTATCATTCCTAGTCGCCTACCAACTTCGTGCATCCATGTGACTAAATTGTCTCATGTTGCAAACTCGTCATAGGTGGTAAATTCATGTCCATAATCCAAAGTTAATTCCGTACATCCATTAACTCCACTACATGTGCTAGGTGCAGTAGTCTGCAAGAAAGACCGTGAATTTATTTAAAAAATCGTAAGATCAAAAAATCGACATCACAGTGTCGATTTTTACATAAAAAAAAATTATGTTGACTTTTATCAAAAGAATCGACACTTGAACGTCGATGGTTTGCAGAAAAAATATACAACACCTGAATATGCTGAATCTTTTGACTCTTCCCTGACTAATCTAAAATGTTTTAACTGTACCTCTCTTCCTAAAACATATGATTTATTTGAGGGAGAAGAAGAATTATGCAATGAGGAGGAACTGATGTCTCTTTGCAAAGAATTATATAGTGACTGGATTAAGAAAACTTAAATGCTTGAAGATCTGAACAAGGAAAATAACTCCAAAAAGAGAACAGTCACTCAGTTATTTATATTCTGCTTAAAACTTGTGTTATTTATATTCTGCTGCACAATCTTTCTCGATACAAGTTTTGTCTATTTTGTTTATAGACTTTTGATTTTATACAAGTTATATTTAAATTACACGAATTCGGAGGCATTGAATTATTTCAATAGGTTTCATCCTTATTAATAATTATTTGTGTTATAATTGATACTATTGGAAAAATTTGACGATTTGGAAAGTTTTAAAATTTGGAGGTTGAGAAGATTTGGAAAAAGGTCAAAGGGTTTCTTAACAAATGAATTATTTCGCACTGTAACTAGAGAAAAATACACTGCGAATAGTAAGCCCCTTTCTTTAATCATCAACACATCTTTCAAATATAATTTAGGGCTAAATACAGTTTGCACCCTTAAAGTATAGGGTTGGTAACACTTACCCCTTAAAGTTACAAATGTAACACTTATCCCCTCATTAATGAATTTAATGGTAAAACTTTGACTTTGAATGATATGGATTTTTTTCTTCCCAGAATGTCCTTCTAGCCATTATATAAATAATGAATATGTAATAAAAAAATATTCGGCAACCTTTCAAAAACTTAATTTTATTATTTAAGTATTGCAAATGAAAAAAATTGAATTTTAGTTTCAATTTTGTTTTGCTTTATGTTCAATAAAAAAGTGAACAAGTATTCGAATTTTAATTATAATTTTATAGTTTATCTAGTTATTTTAATGAGTATATGACTCTAATATAATAATCTCACTTTTTGCTTCTGAGAAACACAAAATGTATTCAAAAGTTAAAAAGAAATCATAATTTGAACGTCTAAATATTTAAATATTTTTTATTGAAAGTTATATTTAAGTAACTGAAATAAATTTTAAAATCAATAATTATTATAAAAAAAAGTTGGACGTTAAGTCTTGAAAATAATTTTTTTTCTTGCAAATGTTTAACGTATTTTATATTTTTTTTTAAATAATTGAGATTTTTATTTATATGAGACTAATATAGTAATTAAAATGTGGAGTTAAACTTAAATCATTTTTTTTTAATAATTATTGTATTTTATAAAATTTATTTTTTGAAATATTTTTTAAAAGATATTATTATAGATGCATCAATATAATAGCTAGAATGACATTTTGAGAAGAAAAAATGCTACATCATTCAAAGTCAAAGTTTTACCATTAAATTCATTAATGAGGAAGGTAACTATTACATTTTTAAGTTTAAGAAAATAAGTATTACCAACCTTATACTTTAAAGATGCTATTTAGCCCTATAATTTATGTTAGTTGTACTTGTACATGTGTACAGAGATGTGAATGTATTGTAAAAGAATCTTCACTTTTTTCCAACCAAAACGCAAAAGATGATGTCTTGTTAAATAAAATTTCAAAGCAAGGGTTGAAGCATTATAAATTACATTTAAATTTAGGGCAATTGACATACAAGTACATGACACATTGACTTAATTAAAAAATGATCAAAATGATTCTCGTTTGATTCAAATTGTGTTCATGTAAAAGAATACATATACCTGAGAAACCCAAAACGCAACAGTTCACAAAAATACCTATATTATTTGCAAACAATGAAAGATGACGAACATTTTCCGTGAAGATTGAAGAAGGCAAAGATTATACATCGTAAAATAATATAAGGGATCATCGGATTCTCTGACGCTCGGGTTTACTTATCTGGCCGCCAAAATCCTTTCTTACCAACAAGAAACTGATCTTGATGTACATTTACGGACCAGTGAAGGGATTTCAAAATGGGCTTCATCTTTGCAATTATTTCCATGCTGTCTTGAACTAGCAGATATCCACCTGGTCTCGCTATCCGATCCATCTCTGCAGCTACTTCAATTATATCGCATCTGACAAAATATAATTGCTCAATCAAATCAGCTCAAGTAATTTATGTGCAATTTCAAGAAAATATTATTATGATTATACGAAACTGCACATATGGATGAAATGAGTGAGTGGTTGGTTACTACCTCTTGGTCAAGTTTCCTAAGAGGAAACTGGAATGCAGAAGATCAAATGTTCGAGGATATGTATTAAAAGATTCACACCAGTCATGGTAAGTTCCAATCAGCCCTCTATCGAAAATGACTGATAGAGTATCTGGTTCGTGAACGGGAACGACATTCATCACCCACAGTGGTAGATTAATCAGTGCAGCACCAAACCTGCAAACACCATGAAAAATATTACAAAATAAATTCCTGAAATTTTCAAGAAAACAAAAGCCTTTTTTATGTAACTTACCCTCCATAACCTGCATTCATATCGATAACGTTCCGAACACTAGACCAATTAATATCAAGACCACCAATATAAACCTCAGAGACTAGTGCAGACCAGTGTGTGGTGTCCCCTTTGAAGGTTTCTTCGGCATCTGGCTCGGAAGAGAGGCTTTGTGGTTTATCGCTTAGCCTTTCCGGCCAGAGTGATGGCCATTTGTTCGAGTCACCTACAATTGGCACAAGACAACTATCCAGAGGCACATACCTATTTGCAGGAGCGAGCGAAAAATGATAAGGGTTTACGATCCAAATAACTACACTAAATATAATGAACATAAATTGAATTTTTTTCACACAATAAATAGTAAATACCATGAATGATTATTGGGCCTACTCGACAGATCACAAAGAGGTGGACTATTCTCTTTTCGATTCTGATAACAGGAAGATGAGATGGGCTTTTGGAAAACAACTAGCCCAATATGCATATCGCTAGCGTAAGTCTTTGCCACTATGCTCCAGCAAATTGATTCTGATAGAGCTACCATAGCTGCAATATCGAAAAAGTGTTGACATTATATGGATCAATTGATAATTCGTTTCACTAGTATATAGTGGGGGTTTTTTTCACTAACATTTCCAGACGTTCTGATGTTTTTCATCGTCTTTATAAACTGGTGTGGCTGACCATATAAAATATCCTCCAGGCCTAAGAATTCTGTTCAGTTCCATCAAAGGCTTTCCACCTGCAATTTTCATTTATTACCCAAAATTATTATCTTTTTTGTAGGAAAAAATAGGATTAATGTAGAGAGAGAGAGAGAGAGAGAGAGAGAGAGAGAGAGAGAGAGAGAGAGAGAGAGAGAGAGAGAGAGGTACCATCTCCATCCCAGTGAACGCGGCACCTAGCACAGTGAATCATATCAAAAGAGTTATCGGGAAAAGTGAGCCTTTGTGTACCGATGACTGAGAGTGTAGCTGGAATTCCCCTTTCAAGAGCAAACTGAATTTGAGCTTCGTGTTCATCCTTTGGGGCAAAAGACATCGTAATTACATTTCTGTCCAGCAAAGCACCACCAAAGCTAGCAACTCCACACCCAACGTCTAAAATGACCCTCGTTTTCTTCCCCCATTCAATCACTGGTAATGTCTGGAGTAAATAATAAAACATTAAATACCTGATTGAATATCTCCACGGTTGGAGTGAATAAAAATCATGGACAGACAAGATAATAAACTTTCAAAGTAAATCAACCTTTTCAATAGACTCGATGTAAAAATTGACTCCATTCTTGAATTGTGTGCCTCCACCAGGAAAAATAAAATAATCATCTGATTTCACAACCCAACGCTGGTCCTTCTTATACTCGACAAGCTTAGGATGAGGGACGTTACTGTACCATACCTGAGAATAAATGAAATCAAAACATGTTATACAACAAAAGCGGCCAACTAATGAAGTAGCAAATGGTGATACCTTAGAAGCAACACTAGATGTAATACACCACAACCATTGCCAAGAAAAATCAAGCTCGTAAATTCAAACTCCCAACAAGTAACCATAATGTATTCTCAAACCATTAAACCACACATTGTATACATAATCAATCGGTTGCAAAGTCCATCAAGCTCAAGACAAAGAATTTGGATCGTGAATCAATCCACTATAGGTTGTTTTTCAGGAAAATAACAATCAATCATTGTAGACGGAAAATAAACAAAATCGAATAATTGAATCCAGAAAACATAAAAAAAAAAAAAAAAAAAAAAAAAAAATTGATAGTCAAAATTGTTATAGTCAATGATACATACATTTATGTATGTGGCATCACATAGCATAATAGGATACAAATTGTGTGAAGATCAGGTGCAACAGTTGAAGAGGTTCTTGATCCATGAAACTTGGGGAAGAATAATAATGAAAAAAAAAAAAAAAAGAAAATAAAGCTTACCAAGAAAGAATGAATGGTCTCACCATATCCCGGCTCTTAGGCCACGGAACTGGAAGCTGATAACCTTGAGGCAGAGGAACCAAACACCTTGGAGTTGGTTCAGGGCAATGCCTCTCCCTGTGTTCCATCCGCTTTCGAGAGGGCAATGATTTGATCACTTTCCAATTATCCAAACATGGTATGTAATCAACAACACCAGGACCCGTACACAGCTCCCAATCCACATCCACCACCTGATTATTATCATCGTAATCGTCGGTATTGTTTGAGGCATTGGTATTATTGGTGATCGGTGCAGAGGAAGTGTTCGACGAAATGACAGTAGTTGGGGGAGGTGGATATGTGGTGGAAAAGGGGAGATTGGTGGTGGTGATGGGAATTAATGGGGACTGTTGTGAGGTGGAGATGAGGATGAGAGTGACGAAGATTAGTAGAAGGAAGAATGCCAGTATGAATGGGTATTTCCTCTCTTTCAATATGCTGGGCACTGTTATCGCCATTCTTCCTCCAATTCTCTATTCTTCGGGATCGACAGAGAGCTGATGAGAGAGAGATTTCCAAGGTGATTCTTAGAGAGAGAGAGAGAGAGAGAGAGAGAGAGAGAGAGAGTGGGGAAACAGATGGAAGAAGGGAGATCCGATTTCGTGAGAATTGATTTGAAAATGAAATGTGGTTGATGATGGATGGGGTAGGAGACACACATTTAAGATGACTGACGACGATTGGTTTGGTGGGCCAGTGCGATGGTGGGTACTCAACGGTGGGGATTGGGATTGGCCATTGGGGAATATTAATATCTAATTCAGCAATTATATTAAATTATAGATAATAACTCTCCTCTTTGCGACTAGTTTAGTTGAGTGAAATGTGCCTCTCCAAATTGGGTCTCTAAATTCTGTTTTGGACACTCAAATGGAAACCCAGTAAAATTTTAAAGTCTCTAAAAAAAATTCTATAATGAGAGGGCTCTATAATGTTTGAGTCTCTAAATCATGTTACGGATTATTTAGTAATTTGTTTATGGCTCAAGTTTTATTCATATACGAGATTGTAGACAGTTAAATTTTATTTGAACAATCTTAATTATTTTTAATACATATTTTGATCCTAAAAATGAAAATTTCTGAAAATATATGAAATATTGAACTACAACCGTTGGATATGATTTTCAATTGATCTCGTCCATTAAATTATTATCTAATTATCTTATTCACAGTCTCCTCCATGAAAAAATCTGAAAATATCTGAAATATTGAACTACAACCATTGGATATGATTTCAATTGATCTCGTCCTTTAAATTTTTATCTAATCATCTTGTCCACATCTTGATGATCTTCTTCAGATTTTCATTATCTTATCCAACTATAATCCATTAGATTGAATTTTCATGTTCAATCTTGGTCATCCAAATCTTCTCTATTATCTATTCATTTTCTTATATAATGTTACTCCTCACCCCTTACACAATCACCACACATTCTATACACAATCACCTCACATTCTATATACAATCCAGCTTCTGTTTCAAAAATAAAATGGCACAATAAGGAAGTGATAATTCCTCCTCTGACGACGACAACCAAGGCCACACAATGATGACGACGATGTACGTGGAATACCAATCACTTATGTTGGTTTCACAGGGAAAGTGCAAAACACAACACGGAGGAACAACATCACGTCGGACTTCCATAGAAAGGGATCGAAGAGTTGGGCATGAGGGACTTATGAATGATTACTTTGTAGATCGTCCTTTATATCCTCCTGAATATTTTCGAACTAGAAATTGTATGAGGCGTGAATTATTTTTACGAATTATGAATGATATAGTGAATTTTGACGATTACTTTAAGCAAAAGCCGAATGCCTCCGGAAATCAAGGTTTCTCACCCCATGTTAAGATGACAGTTGCACTTCGTATACTCGCTTACAGATATTCTGCAGATGCAATTGACGAGTATCTAAAAATAGCAGCGAGCACATCTTCAGGTACTTTGAAGCATTTTTGTCGTGCTGTCAATGCAGTGTATGGAGAGGAGTATCTTCGATGACCTAACAATGCAGACATGGTTAGACTATTTAGAAAAGCAGAGCAACGGGGATTTCCTGGAATGCTAGGAAGTGTGGATTGTATGCATCGGGAATGGAAAAATTGTCCCACCGCTTGGGCTGGTACATACTCTGAGCGCCATGGCAACCCTACAATAATACTTGAGGCCGTAGCATCATATGATACTTGGATTCGGCATTCATACTTTGGTCCATCAGGTGCCTGTAATGATCTTAATGTATTATATAGCTCACATATATTCAATGATGTCGTTGAAGGTCTAGCCACAGATATTCAATTTACTATAAATGGTAGAGTATACAAGTAAGGATATTATCTAGTAGATGGTATATATCCATGTTGGTCAACTATTGTTCAAGCAATTCCCGATCCACAAGGACGCGATAAACAATTATTTACGAGGTTGCAAGAGGCATATCGAAAGGATGTTGAAAGAACTTTTGGCATTCTCCAATGTCGATTTGAATTTATTACAGGACCTTGTCGATTATGGCACAATGCACAAATTGGTGAAGTTATGAAATATTGTATAATTCTTCATAATATGATCGTGGAAAACAACCGCAATCAAGAAGGTGACGATTATATCGAGCACGTGCAGCAGCAACCTGTTGAGCGAGACCCGATAACGATTGCAGAATATTTAAGCAACCGTGTCGGACTTACAGATACAACTCGCTATTTTATGCTCCGAAATGATCTCGTCGAGCATGTCTGGAACGAGTACCGAGAGGGAAATTTGAATGTTTAATTTTTATCGTTGTAATCATGTTGTAAGATGGTTATTCATTGTCTTGTTTTTCTGTTTTGTTCATTGTATTTTAAAGGATATTTGGGTCAACCATATTAATCCTCGTTTTAGTTGATCGTCTATAAACTCAATATTTGAAATTATATATAAAAAATATTAACTGTTGTAAATAATATGGTTGTGGGGTTTCCTAACATAACCACCCAACTCCCCACTAGATCACTAACCTACCCATGTCTTCCCATTATGTATTAGTGGTAGAGTTACTTGTTTTGTAACTTCTCTTGTAACTCCCGGTGGTTTTTCACCTATATAATGGAATTCTCCCTCCCCCATATTTACACCCTTATTAATCTCTCTACGGATTTTTGTCTTTGCATTCTCTCTCTATCTTTTATATTGTTGTCATACTTTATTTTCCACCATCATCAAACCAAAGAGCAATACCATTAGGGCGATTTACAACACGTTATCAGCACGAATTGCTCGCGGTGATCGTGGAAGAACAATTGTTCGTGGGGCTAGAATACTTGGAGAAATTGTGAGCGTGGTTCGTTTGTAAAACGGTGATCTACTTTCGTAGAACGTATAATCTTCTCTATAGTATCTGAATTTTATCAATTTTCAAGTAAGCCTTAACCCCTTGAAATTCTTTATTATATGAATGCATGTTAGATAAATTCGAATTAGCATGAAAAGTTGTGTAGCATATTTATTTGATGTCATTTGATATTTGTTTGAAAATCTCGGTTGATGTTTCGAGTACTGTATGATTCATGAATAGATTGTTATATGAGTTGTACTTTGTTGGTGAATGAAGATAAGAAGTTTATGAATTAATCTGTTTGTCAAGATGAGTAATATGTAATATTCTTGTAGAATTATTTCACTATGAATATTCTGCGTACATGTTTGGACATTTAATGTTATATGACCAGTGAATAAAATCATCCATGTGAATATTCTGTGTGCATGAAACAATCGGTTTGTCTAATAATCATGAACTGATTGAAATATATGTGAATTCTATGCGAGTCATATATGCTATATGTGGTTGTATCACGGCATATGCAAATTTCATGACATAAAAGTAATACACAATAATTTGATTCGCATGTATTCTTTGTCTATGTACGATAGGATGGAACATTTGAGCAAACTTGATTTCACCCCTTTGAATGGATCTGGTGAGAACTACGTGAGTTGGACAATGGATGTTAAGATCCATCTCACTAGTAAGAAACTGAAGATGGCTATTGTCAAAGAAAATCTGCGCCCAGAAGGCTGAAGCCATGATTCTGATTAGGAGGCACCTAGATGAGGTCCTCCGTTTGGACTACTCATCGATTGAGGATCCCCAAATACTATGGGATGCCCTGGCTAGTCGATTTGATCACCAAAAGACAATCCTCTTGCCTGAAGCAAGAAACAAATGGATTCACTTACGGTTTATGGACTTCAAAACCGTTAACGAGTATAACTCTGAAGTATGTCGCATCAAATCCACCCTGGAGTTTTGTGGAGAGAAACTAACTGATGCTGAGATTCTGGAGAAGACGTACTCTACATTCCCTGCCTCACATATGATACTGTCTCAACAGTACAGAGCCAAGAACTATACTCAGTTTTCAGAGTTGGTCACAGTTCTGCTCCTTGCCGAGAAGAACCTTGATCTTCTTTTGAAGAACAACCAGGCTCGACCAGTTGGTACTCGACCTTTGCCAGAAGCAAATTTGGTCAATCGAAATCCTCAACCTTTGCCGGAAGCAAATTTGGTCAACAGAAACAACCGTGGAGGAGGCAGAGGTCGGGGGTTCAATCGTCGAGTGAGAGGACGGGGTAATAGGGGCGGACATGTTCCTTATAATAGGCCACCTAATGGTCCCCCACAGTATGGGCAAAGGGGGAATATGCCAAGAGGAGGTAACAATGCTCGACCTAGAGGTGCGCAGCAGAATAGAGCCCCGAATCAGAATCAAAATCAGAATAGAGATACATGTCATAGGTGTGGTGGAACTGGGCATTGGTCACGCACCTGTCGTGCGAGGAACGTTATGGTTGGTGGTGTAAATAACAATGCACCACCGGAGACCAACCTGGTTGAGATAGACGTTCTCAATGAGGAGCCCATTGCTCGACTCCCAAATCTGGGCACATCTGACCCAATGACCCAGTTTGGAATATGATTAGAATGTTATTTTATGAGTTTAGACATTATGTTCTTTTATGTTTCTAGTTTATCAGTTTTAGGTTATGTTGTTTATTTGGTCATGCTTATGAAACAATTTCGTATTTGGATTATGTTTGTGCTTTATTTTCTGAACTATATTTTATATGGCTATGTTTTAATTAGTTTATATGGTACTCGATAAAGTTATCTTGTTTGGATTTTATTAAAGTATTTTCAATTGCGGAATATATGATTAGATTTATTTATCTTTCTAGACATGGCATGTGGGGATGAATGTCTGGCAGATAGTGCGACAACGCACACTATCCTTAGGGATAAGTCATATTTTGTTAGTTTCATGTCTAGTAAGACTTCTTTGACTACTATATCAGGCACATCTAGTATAATAGATGGTTATGGTAATGCCCATATTATGTTACCTCATGGCACAATTCTGACCATTAGAGAAGCTCTTTATTCTCCACGTTCCAGTAGAACGCTGCTGAGTTTTAAAGATATTCGAGCCAATGGTTATCATGTTGAAACAACTGATGAAAAGGGGATCGAGTATATGTGCATCACCTCTA